TTTCTGATCATATGTGTAATCATTGTCGTGCTATCGGTTGCTGTTATAATGTTGACCTCATTGGTGATCGTATTAATAATTAGAGGGCAAAGGAGGCGCTGCCAAATGCAACTTAATCAACAACTATCAACAAAATCAGAGTTTAGTTATTTTTTTACAAAATATTTATATTTATGTCATATTATCAATAAATATATATTTATAAAAGTTTTTAATTGCTAATCTTATATGATTATGCATTTGTATTAAATAATTATTGGAAAAACGTGTTTTTAATTGACAATTTATTTGACATTTTAATTGCATTTATTTATTTATTTTTATAAATTGAATTTATTGATTTTTTTCTATTAATTTATTATAAGCACAAATTTGCAGTAGTTTATACTGTTTGTATGTATTTAATATTACGGTAATAATTAATACTTATTTATTCACAAAATAGTTTTGAAATTTTTGTTTTACTTTTTACTTAATATATAAATATACAGACAGTACAGTATATATATATATATTTTTTTTAAATGTTATCTATTAATATCAGATATATTTATTATACCAATAGCGTTATTGACAGTTTTTAAATAACAGTAGTTTTGTATTTTAGGTTATATAAAAATTATTTATTTATTTATAAATAAAAGATTTTATATTAAATTAATTGATAGATTTAACGACTACGACGACATTGATCTGCCCATTGGCGGCGATCAGACCTACGAAAGTATACGACAACCCGATTATTACGAGACAATAACTCCTGTCGACGAAAGTGACGATATTGTGGTCACAACTCGGGACACACAGAGCTTTGGTACCACAAAGAGCTATCAATTGAGCTTTTATGACAACAATGCAAATCCAACGGTCGTTGATTTAAGACGGATGTCAATGAGGGTTATGTTAAGGGAAATGGACGGACAGTATATGCAAAGCGATGTCGATTACATAGATATGAGTCTTAATTCAAGTAATAACAAAATAAATGCTAAATTAAGTCCTAATTTATATAATTAAAAAAAATTTAAGTATTAACTAAATCTTTTTAAAAAATACATGTACAGTATATAAATGAGATAAAAAACTAAATTCAAAATTTTTAGTTTACTAATGTTATATCTGTATATTTAATATGTTTAACTATTAATATTTATTTAAAATACAACTATTGATAAATTACTTATAAAAAGATTATTATATATTAAATACAAAATAATATTTCAATAAATGAAAAAATTATTTTGTTTGTATCTTTTACTATCAAATTACTTAAGTAGTTTCAATACATTCAATTTATATTAGTTTTATTAGCAAATTAGTAAAACTTAAGTATTACTTAATAATTAAAAGATTAATAGAGTATTATTATTATTATACAATTTATATCTATAAATACATAGCCGATCAAAAACTATAACAAATATATGAAAATTATAATAATTTTGTTATTATGAATAAACATTATAGAAGATTATAACCCAAATTTGGCCATTTTATGATAATTGGTTCCCAAGATATAGTCAATAAAACATATGTTTAGTGAGATCTCAGTTTTTTTCAAAAAAAAAGTAATAACTCATGAAATATTAAATTTTTGAAAGTTTCATCAGTAAAAATAAGGACCCATTGTCAATATTATGTATATATATATAAATATATAAACATTTGAATACATGGCTTATTTTTAAAATTGGAGCATTTAAAGAATTTACATTTAATAATTTTAATAATAAATGACAACAAATTTCAATTTCTAAAATACGGACATAAACTTTTTTTATGTATAAATAAAATTTCTTGATATATACTCAATATAAAAAATATTTATAATATTAAAACTAAGCAAAAAATAATTTCTAATTTGTTTGAATTCTAATGAAAAAAAGTATATCTTAAGAAAAATGTTTTAATTTAAATAAAACTAAAATAATTAAATATTATTTTTACTTATTATTATTATCTTATTAATTATCTATTAGTTTTATATAATTATTCACATATTTATTGTGCAATGATTTGTTTTTTATAAACATCAGCACTTATAGCCAAATCATTATCAAATTAAACAAAGTATACTATTTTTCATTTGATGATTATATCCTAATTAGTTAAATCTTTTATTTATTAATTTTATGAAATGAGAAAATATATAACAAATTTATAAATGAGAAAAAATATTATTATACAGTAAAGATAAAAATATTAATAATATTAAAAGTTTACATGATTATTTAAAAGTTTAGTTAATACACAAATTTTATATTAAAAAAACTGTTTCAGGATACTTTTTTAAACCATTAATTTTAACATGTGCTTTTATCATGTATTATGTAATAATCTATGTGTATAAATGACAATGATTAACTTGTTTTACTTATTTAAATATATAGTTTTTATTTATAAAAAAATAATTATTTCAGTGTGTTTAAAAAAAATCTGAAAAATAAAGTAATTAATAGAGTGACCAAATACACGGGTGATATACCTAATTGAAGTTACAGCTCATTACTAAATACACTGTGATTGTAATGATATTATATTTAGTTTTTTGGACATCGCTCTGTATTTATGGTGCTGACGATATATCAAAAGATATTTTATATATTAGCAGAAAATTTAACATAAAAAAATAACAATAAACATAACATTCAAAGCTATTTATAGGAAACAAATCATAACAATAATAACCGATTGGAGGACCGGTTAAACGTTCAATAAATATAAGAACTCTTTCTCGATCTCGCAGTGAAAGCATTGGATTAGTCGATAGATAGGCTAATATCGACGCATAGGAACTGTGGGCCTCGTTTGTGATCCTTATGCCCATCAATGCACTTGCAATACAAAGTATGGAAAAGATAATACCAAACATAGTTATAATCAATCGTTGGATCAAATCAGAGTCATTTCGGATAATAAAGACAAACATAATTTGTCCCCCAAGAGTCATGACGTAATAAAATATAAATATAATCCAACGAAACATATGGTTACACCTGTGCACTAGTAATGCATAGTAATTGTGTTCATCGATGGCTCGCATCAGGTGTTTGGTGTCACCATTTAATACAGACTTATTGATCAATTGGTTGATTTCAGCAAATTTATATCGAAAATAATGTGTAGTCGCGTTCCACATCATTAAACAGGTCAAACCTAAACCGCTTGTCTGTAGGGCAGTGACCAGTATAGTAATATAGTTAACCATAAATATGAATAACATTAGCCAACTTGGTGTGTGAAAGTAGATCCATAGGTATAAGTAGCCGGCAATGATTGGTATCAGTGTTGTTATGCTAAAGAAAACTTGAAATACAATATATTTGGTTAAACGAGTGGCCATTATAACTACTTTTGTATAACTGGCCAAATTCAATGAATACTTAAACAGATCGTATTTCATGAGATAAAATACTTGGACGGTATGTAATTGGTTTGTATACTCTTGGTATGAGTACATAAACATACAGCACATGAATGCAAATAATACGTCTACAAATCCTATGTAAAGGATATGACTGTTCTTGATATACGGTCTCAGATCGTAAAGCAATTGCAAGACAAAGATGTCCTTAAGTGTGACGGTTAGGACGTCCCGTAAAAGCGTAATTACAAACATTAGTCGAGCAATGATAATGGCTACCAATCGTCGCTTCTCACGATATCCCGAAACATAGTCGTCCGATGATCTCACATATGAGGCCAACGATAGTGAAACCAATCGTTCAATTTTTTCAATATTTTTCTTTGTTTGCAAATTAAGTTCATAGCGTTTGTCTCTCATATGCCTCCAATGATATTTGCCGTGAAGTGTTGGCCACAAAGCGGTTGCCATTTTGTTTGTAATTTCTTTTGAATAAAATTATTTTAGATATAAATAGCTTTTACGATACATTTTTAAGTTACCTTAAGTTTCTATAATTTTACTATATTCTAGTTATACAACAATTTTTATATATAAATATACTAAAAATTATATCCTATGATCGATATTTAAATATATAATATTTATGATAAGTATGAAATTTTTAAATATTTTAAATTATTCAATTATGTCAATATTTTCAACAAAAAACTTTCTAAATATAAAATTAAATTTGCTATAAGATTCAATTGAAATAAGAAAAATAAATTATTATTATTCTAGTAGTGTTTATTTAATATAATTTGAATATAATTTAAAATTTATTTTTCAGAATTTATTTTAAATTAATATTTAGTCAAACATTCAACATTTATAATATTAATTTTTCTAATATAATAACGATTTTAAAATTAAAAATATCAATAATTTTTATAAAATATTAAAAACATTTTTTATTTTGTAAATTAATTAAGTAAAGCTAACTACAGTATATGCTTATATATTTATCATTATATTTGTCGCAGTATTACTATTTTATTATATCATATAATATTATATATTATATCAATTTTAATAATAATAATACCATTTTCTTATTTTACTATTGTAATATAACATTAATTTTTTAAAAACAATTTAATAAAATATTGAAAGATATATAAATTTAATAATCTGCTAAAAAGATTACATTTTAAATGTTTTTCTCGTTTTTTATTTACTTCTAATTCAATTCAATCAATTTGACAAACATTTTGATAAAAACTGTGAGACTTTGAATATTTAAAATATACTATAGTTTTACTGATGTTTGGAGACTTTAATACGTCAATTAGTTTTATAGTACATAATATATATACAGTAGTATTTTATATCTTATTTGTGTATAATATCAGTGTATTTGTATTGATTTTCAAGGAAATTATTGTATTAAACATATTTAACATTAAAATTTAAATCAACGTTAGGAAACTCTCAGACAATTCATTATACTAATAGACAAATAATTAATATAATTATTATCAAATGCACTAATTAGTCGATTAGTCTAAATAAATATTAGATATAAAGTTTTTAGTTTAGTGTATAAGTTTAGTTAGTATATAAATTGTAACTCAAATGCTATAATATTACAATAAATACAAAATAATTTCCTAATTAAACATAAGGTTTATTACAAAAAGTGTTTAATTTATATTATATAACAATGTCTGTCCAAATACCCAACGATATAAGCAATTGGTTGTTTACGGCTGTCATCGGTTTCATTACCTTATATTTGGTGCGTTTCTATCTTAGAGTATTATCATTACCCAGGGGTCACATTCCTCTACCAATATTAGGAAATATATTAAGTAACTAAACATATATAAATTATTTAATATTTAAAAGTTATTAATATTTTTAAAATTATTATTATTATTATAGAGTTTTTCAGAACAAAAGAAAACCAATTTTTGACAATCAATTCAATGCACAAAACCTATGGACCAGTATTTACCGTTTGGTTGGGTAATCTACCAATGGTTGTGGTATCCGATTATAAGCTAATTAAAGAGGCATTCAATTCAAAAGAAAATGAATTAATGGGAAGACCTGTTACTATATTTAGCAAAATATTGCTTAAAAATGGCAAAGACGTGCTGTTTACAGATCACGGGCCTGTTTGGGCCAGTCTTAGACGGTTAGCCCACTCAGCAGTTAGGTATGTAATTATATTTTTTAAAAATTAATATAACAATTAAAATTTTTAATCACTTTTAATTAGAAAACTAGCAGTTAGTGAAAAGTTATATGTTTTGGCCAACGATGCGGTTCGGGAAACAGTCGACAGTATGATTGCTACTGAAGGCTGCGATAAACCATTTAATCCTAAAAGTTATGTCTATATGTCAGTCATAAATATCATCGCTTCGTCAGCTTTTGGCAAAAGGTTGAAATTATATACAAATATACATAAATAGTATTTATATTATAAAAAATAAATAAATATTTTTATAAAAATAATAATAATATTATCAATTTTCATAATTCAGATATGCTTTCAATGATCCGGAGTTAAAATATTTTGAAAACAGTTTAGAGTATTTCAGATCCAATACAAACACAATAGGACTTTGCGATAGAGTGCCGGTTATGAAACTAATTTATAGTAAAGTTTTAAATAAAACTATTGCTGTTTTGGATCAATTGTCATCTTATATCAAACAACAATACCTAAATCGCATACCTGTCCACGAAAATGGTGTGATCAATGATTTCTGTGATGCACTCATTGAGGCCAAAGAGGAAGCCATAGCCGAACAAAAGGAAAGCGCACCGCATTTCACGGACACTAACTTGTCTTTAGTTATTATGGATCTATTTATTGGTAATTATTGTAATTATATGACATTAAATTAGTTAAATTAATTATTTTATTACATTGTATTTAATTATTATATATTTTAATAGCGGGAACCGACACAACACAGTATATGATGCGATGGATTATACTATTTATGGCAAACAATTCAAAAATGCAAAATAAAATGAGAGACGAAATCAATGATCTAATTGGCGACCGAATGATTACACACGAAGACAAACTCAACTGTCATTATATCAATGCATTTATAGCCGAAACCTTACGTTTAAGAGGTGTCGCACCGTTAGGTGTACCTCATGTTGCTATGTGTGACACAAAAATAGGTGAACACAACATAAAAGAGGGTTCATTAGTAATGAGCAATCTATGGGCCATATCTCGCAATCCCGAACTATGGGACAGACCCGATGAGTTCAATCCAAACCGATTTTTGTCAGCAGACGGAACGTATAGGCCATCTGTGCCCGGATTTGCACCGTTCGGTATCGGTAGACGTGTTTGTTTAGGCGAAAAGCTGGCACTGGCCGACATGTTTTACATAACTGTTCAATTGTTACAATCAACTTCTCAATACATATTGACAGTACCGGGAGGTGACGGAAGTGCCGATTTGGAACCCAATCCTAATATTCTGTTGTTTAGTGTACCGAAACCTTATGAAATTGTATTGAAAAGAAAATCATTGATAAAAAAATAAGTTATTAATCATTTGATATATCATTTCATTTTGTGTTAAATATATATATATATATATTAATAATATTATTAATAATATTAATCAACCCATTTTATAAAATACTAGTATGTATATGATAAATGTATAACAAAATATAAAATTTATATCTTTTAATTTATTATATAGCTATCTATGTGCCAAATATTAAATGTAAACAAAATACTGTACTATAAACACGGTATATAAAATAATAAAGTTTTGTTTTATTAAAATATTTGAATTTTTTATATCAAAATTTATATCAAATTTAATTCTAAAATAAAATTAACATATTTTTATAACTTATTACTTTTAATTTATATAACGATAAACTACTGTATAATAATATAAATGACAAAATGTAAAATAATTAACAATAAAATTAGATTGTCATCAAAAATTTTTAAAGTCATCATTGTCTTTATAATTACTATATTTGATTTCAGAAAACTGGTTGTATATTATTTAAGTCAATTTAATAAAAAAATAATATTTTACAAAAAATTTAGTTTAAAAACTAAACTTCAAGGACAAACATATATTGACTGTTATTATATCAATAACTTATCATACATTGACTGTATTGTATAACCGATATATTGTATAAATATCTAACCAAATGTAATATTAATTTTAATTATACAGTAAATACATAACAACTAATGTATTCATTAACTAAAACATTATTAGCGATTAGTTTATTAGTTATTAACAGACAACGAGATAATGACTTACTTGTCCAGCGAAACACTTTTCAACACAATTATGACTATATAGTGGTCGGCGCCGGTAGTGCCGGCTCTGTAGTAGCCTCGAGGCTAACAGAGAATCCCGATATCAGTGTACTATTGGTTGAGGCCGGCGGTGCCGCACCCGTAGTGTCCGATATGCCAGCAATGACTCCAACATTATGGGGTTCGGACATCGATTGGCGGATACCTATTACACCACAGAAACACTCGCACCGGGCATTTACCGGTCAGTCGGCTAAACTAAGTCAGGGCAAAGTGATAGGTGGCTCCAGTATTATCAATGCCATGGCCTACGCACGAGGATTCGTCAAAGATTACGACGATTGGGAACTGGAGTTCGGGGCAAACGGTATGTCAGATATACAGCAATAATATCAATAGTTTAAGAAATATTTTTAGAAAATATTTTTTTAAAAATCTTATGAAACAACAAATACTGTATTTTATATCTATAACTGAATATTACTTTTTAAATATGATATAATAATAAATTATTAACATGGTCAATTTTATTTATTTATACAAAAATTATTAAAAAACTGTAAATAAAATAACATAAATAGTTATAAATAAATTACGACAATTTATTAACATTATATTAAAAGTTTTTAAGATTAATAGTTTTTGAAAATATTTTTTTAATTAATTAATTAAAGGCTGGAATTGGACTCAAGTTTTGCCATATTTTAAGAGATCTGAAAACAATACAAATCATTCATTAAACCGAAAATATCACGGCTTTGATGGACTGCTAAGTGTGACCAGTATTGATGAGCCGCGACCTATCAATAAGTTGACGATTAGTGCGGCTCAAGAGCTCGGCTACAATGTAATTGATTTTAATGATCCCAACACTGAGGAAGGGGTAGCCATACAGCAGATGACTCTCAAGTTGGTATCAATTAAACATATTCTTGTAATTTAATTTAAAACAATTTTTTTCATTTTAAGAGACGGGTCTCGGTTTTCATCAGCAAAAGCATTTCTATGGCCTGCAAGGGATCGGCCAAACCTGCATATTATGGCCAAAAGTTTGGTTACGAAAATCAATTTTGATGACAATCGACGGGCTATTTCGGTGGACATACTTAGTAATGAAAATAAACACTTGAAGATTAGCGCCCGACATGAAATCATTGTATGCGCCGGTGCTCTCAACACACCAAAACTACTGATGCTTTCGGGTATCGGTTTTAAACAACATCTTATTGATCATCAAATACCTGTAGTATCTGATCTGCCGGTCGGTGATAACTTTCACGACACTCCCGTCACATTTGGCGTACATTTTAGAGTTAATCAAAGTCTACAATCACCTGATCTGTTACAAAGTGATGTTTCTGACTATTTTCTCAAAGGAAAGGGAAGGTTAACACAGTTTGAAAAAGCAGCCATCAGAATGAAGACATCAGCAGCGATAGATGACAGACCAGATATGCAGATATTTGTCGAAACTGGCAGTTGGGCTAACTTTCCCGATGCCGATAGCGCTGCAAAAGCACTGAATATAAAACCTGAAATCTGGAATCAATATTATCGTCCATATAGTGGACAGTCGACCATAACTTTCATTCTGTTACTTAATCGGCCACTCAGTCGGGGAACAGTTCGACTGAAAAGTAATGATTTTTATGACAACCCTATTGTGAATCCTAACTATTATGATAATAAACAGGATATTCAATCAATGGTTGAGGGTATAAAAATTGCCTGGAATTTAGGTCACACCAAATTGTTTAGAGATTCATTAGATGCCAAACCATTTGTCAGTCCATTACCGGGATGTCCGGCTATAACAGATTCGGTTAATAAAACTGATGGCAAACATTTAATGCCTAATAACGAGTATTTTGAATGTTTAGCTAAAACTTTGACCATAACGTACACACATTTGGCCGGCACTTGTCGTATGGGTGCCGACACTGATCCGGCAGCTGTAGTCACTAATCGACTAAAGGTTCGCAATGTTACCGGTCTTCGTGTCGTTGACTCATCTGTCGCACCACAAGTACCTTCCGGTGCTTTCTATTCATCCGTACTTATGATAGCCGATAGAGGCTCTGATCTGATCCTTGAAGACTATAATAATTCAAGTCATTATCATTCAAATAATTTATACACTTATCTAATAAATATTTTGTCTGATATTTATGTATTTATAGGAAATATTTTATCTTATTTTAATATTAAAATTATTTGATTATATATTAGATGTTTGAATAAAATATTTAATACAATAAAATAGTTTGTGATAATAATATACAGCAACAAAATAATAAAAATAAAATTACGATGATCAGTTTATATAATTATCGATTTTTAATGTTAACCATTACATTTTTAGGTGTCAGCAATAACTGGCCATTAAAGTACTCAATCTATATTACAGCAAATAATTAAATATATTAATACAGATATAAATTTTTTAATTAAATTCAATGTTATATAAAACTATGAGATTTTAATTTAGAGATTACCTTAGTGTCTGGTGTCGGTGTAAACTCAAAATTTAAGACCATTTTTGCGATACACATCCGCATCTCATTCAATGCAAATCTCATACCAATACAAAGTCGAGGTCCGCCACCAAATGGTATGAAAGCGTAGGGATGGTGTCGGGGCTCCAGAAAGCGATCCGGTTTGAAGTCATTGGGTTCGTCAAAAAATTCTGGATCTCGATGTATAATATAGGGATGAAATTCAACTGTAGTTCCCTTTGGAATTGTTATGCCTATTAAAAAAATATATATATATTTGCAAATAAATCAAAACATATACATATCATAATAACAAATGCTTACCAGTATTTCCAAGAGTATAGTCCTCAATACAATCCCTTTCCACACTAGTGAGCGGTGGCGCCAATCGTAGTGTTTCATTGATAACTGCATTCAGATATTTAAATTCATTTAGTTCTTCATAAGTAAACGGTTTTCCACTATATTTATCGGCCAACTCTTTGTAAAGTTTTTGCTGACAATCCATATTTGTGGCCAAATAATAGATACAATGACTTATAGCTGCTGTAGTTGTGTCGTAACCGGCAATAAAAAAGAAGATTCCCTGAGCTGTCAGTTCATCAGGACTTAGCTTAAGATTTGGTTTCTTAGTTAAGTCCTCTTTATCGATATATTCATTGATTTTGTTGTCTTCATCGCTCATATAGTCGGAATCAAATTCATTATCATTGATCTCATTGTTAATCATTAGTTGCAAAAAATCTGATTTTTTATTTCCTAAAATCAGATGAAAATTTGCAATAATTAATCAAATAATATAAAATGAGAAAATTATTTTTTAAAAACTACATAAAACTATTTAATGATTACCTGAACCTAACTGTTTTGGTGTCCTATTGATTGATTTTCTTTCTTTAACAATCTTTAGTGTCAAATCATTGAAGAAATTAAGCGCCTGTATGTTGAATGGCTCGAGTTTGAAGAGTCGGGCCAACGGTGGCATCAAAACTGAAGCTATAAAACTGAAATTCTGATCGACTGATAATATTTTTTTGGCATTCACTACAATCGGATGATTGGGATTATTGATGGACTCAATGTTGACACCATAAGCACAGGCACAGAGCACATCCATAGCAAAGGCACCGATATGTTTGCGCATATCAATAGGCTTTTCTATGAATACAATAAAAAATAAATTTTCATATAAACATTAATTATATTTAACTAAATTTTCAATTATATTGTTAAACTGAATTTGATGTAAACCTGTTTGTGCCAATTGAGACAAGTGTGCAATAAATCTGTCGGAAATGTGGCCAATGCTGGCCATCATTGCCTTTAACTTTCCCGATGTAAAGGCTGGAGACACTATCGTACGAATTCTTTTCCAATCAGTGTTTCCCTCAATGAAAAACAATGATTTGTGAAGCAATGAAGAGCCCATATTCATGGCATAACGATCCGGTAGTTTATGGAAATCTTTGGTCAGAATCTGACGGATCAGATCGGGATCGTCGACCATCAGAGCCTTGTGATGCAATGAATAGACACCATATATGCGACCGTATTTTTGAAAGTTTTCGGTCAAAATTTTGACCCAAGGGTTAAAAAATATTCTAATGGCCGGATGTTTAGTCCCTTTGACTCCATGTCTCATCCAATATGTAAATCTATGGATATACCATCTAAAGTAATTTTTAAAAATAATAATTAATTATTAAATCATTTTATGAAAATTTTTATTATAGAATTTTTATTAATAGTATTTACATTATAAATAGCGTTATTGTCAATATTATAGTTAAAATCAACATTGTCATTTAATTGAAATTAATTAATATATGGTATATATATTTTTCTATAAATTTTATAACAAAAATTTCATCAATAAAATCTAATTTACTTTATATTAGTTTTTTAAAAACTCATTTCCTTTAACTGTACCTTATTTATAGTTTAATGTTTAATAAAAGTTGCCGCATATAAATACAGTTTATAGAAATTGATAAACTTATTGATATATAAATTTTTGATGAAACAACAGATTAACTGAAAATAAATTAATAATAATATTATTTTGTGTTGACTTTGCAATGTCGAAAAAAATATTGTATATATAAAGTATATGTTTATCAATGTACTAAACTACACTAACATTTAAATATTCAAAAAAAAAGTTTTAAAAAAACTATATTTAAAGAGATGATATGTTTTCAATTTATTTTGTTTGTGTAGTTTTTCATATCGCATATGAATGTACTAAATGTTCTCAATAAACAATTTGCTTAACTATTTTAGATAAATTATATAATTATAAAAAATAATGTTTACATAATTGATTCATTTTGAACTAATTATAACAAATTATATAATAATTAATTAATAATAATATGAACAGTAAGTATTAACAGTAGATAGATATAGTATTTTTTAAGTACAATATTTTAATATTTATGAATAAATTATTAGTTTTATATATTTTTGAAATAATACATTAATATGTTTTTACAAAAAAAAATATTTGTTTATTAACAAAATGTAATTTATTAATAACATTAACTTACATCAGTATAATTAAATATTTATACAATAATGCATTTTATAAATTAAGTTTTAATCAATGTTTAATTTAATTCAATATTTGTTTTAATTATAACGTAAATATAACAATTTTTACTTTACGGTATATTTATTATATTTAAAATTATATATAAAACTCAAATTAATGATTGAAAATATTAATGCAAAATTAATAATTGAAAAATTTAGTACATTAATTTACAGTAGTATCATTACAATAATTTAGTTATTTATTTATTAAATCATAATAATTAAAGTAAAATAGGATTATTAAAATTTAATAAATAAGTAAGTTTCATTTTAATATTTATTTATTATTTTATTTTTTGTATTTCATTTTATATAATGACATATTGATATAATTTTTTAGTGATATTATAAATTGTATAAAATTATTGTTATTGTCTAGACTCTAGATTTAGTCTATTTTATTATTGTTATTATTTATTTTTTAAAAATCAATGCATTATAATAATTTGATTAAACAGAATAATAAATAAATAACTTTTTTATTATAATGTTATTAAGATCTAAAAAATATTATTTTAAATTAATCATGTATAAAATAAGTATTAAATGTATAGTTATAAAAATAGTAAATTTAATGAATAACTTTTAACTTTTGATATGATAATGATTTGATAATAATTTGATAATGAATAAACTTTTTTAACTTAAATAGATTTCCATTAATACATGTAATTATAAAAAATTTTAAATCTCACATTTTATAAGAGAAATAAAAATTAATTAATTAAAAGTATTATTGTTATAACTGATTTGTGGTTCAATAAAAACTGATTTAACTGTTAGCATAAACTATAGTAAATTGTAAATTACAAGTTGTAATACATATGATTAATTCAAATTACTGGATAAGAAATCAATTAAAGTTAAAAATTAATATTAAGTTAAACTAATTAACTAATTAACTATAAACTGTGACCGTGGATGAGATTGAATGAGTGGACACAACCAATTGATCGGTAAAACAATTTATTGTTTAAAAATAAAAAAATTAAAAATTGATTAAAAAAAATGGTTGATTTGATTTGTTTCAGGTTTTGTCAAGTGATTGATTCAAGTGAAGGCTTGAATGTCAAGAAAACAGAGAGTGAATGCAAGAGAGGAGAGAAGTGGTGATTGAAGAGTGATTGATCAGAGAGCTGTTGTGAGAGAGAGAAAAAAAAGTGAACTGACGTCCACTTAAGTAGTGGACGGCCTGAAGGGTTGTCCAATGAGAGTGAAGGGTTGGTTGAAATCTGTTGTGAGTGTGTGTGTGTGATCTGTGGGCCATCTAGGGTCACAAAACTAAATCATTGTTTTTGATATATTGTTTAACATAAAGCAAACAATCAGTAGTCTAATGGATAAAACAAAAATAATCATTTTATTAATCATTTTTTATTGATTTAAACATTAAATATTTAAATTTAATTATTATAGATACATTAATATTTATCACTGTAAATATTTTTATTATTACAATAAGTAAATAATGATATTCATAAACAGAAATATTAATTATATTATTTTGCATAAAATTTTAGTATTAATTGTCATATATAAAGTTATATAAAAAAAATTAAAGTAATTAAATATTTATTTAATAAAATTTAATAAAAATATTACTATCTTTTTTTAATATTGACTAAAACTTGTTTCGGTGTAAATAAAATGCTGCCATTAAAGTAATCAAGCTGAATTTTTTAAAAATCAAATAAATATTAAATAGTATTATAAATTATTGAATATTATTGTGATATTAGTTAATCAATGGATACCTTAGTGTCTGGTGTCGGTATAAACTCAAAATTATGGACCAGTTTTGCGATACACATCCGCATCTCATTCAATGCAAACCTCATACCAACACAAAGTCGAGGTCCGCCACCAAATGGTATGAAAGCGTAGGGATGGTGTCGGGGCTCCAGAAAGCGATCCGGTTTGAAATCATTGGGTTCAGCAAAAAATTCTGGATCTCGATGTATAGTATAGGTATGAAATTCAACTGTAGTTCCCTTTGGAACAGTTATGCCTATAAAACATTAATAATTTAAAATTTATAGAATATTTTTTTATTAATTGATTTTATTTATATACCGGTGTTTCCTAATGTGTAGTCTTGTAGACAATCTCTTTGAATGGCCAATAAAGGCGGCGCTAAACGTAATGTTTCATTGATGACTGCATTCAGATATTTGAGTTGATTTAGCCTTTCATATGTAAACTGTTGTCCACTAATTGATTGTTCAATTTCTTCATAAAGTTTTTGTTGACAATCAATATTTGTTGACAAATAATATATACAATGACTTAACGAAGCGCTAGTAGTGTCGTAACCGGCAATAAAAAACAGTATTCCCTGTGCTGTCAGTTCGTCGGCACTTAAGTTTAGCTGCGATTTCTTGGATATATCTTCGGCGACGTTAAGAAACTCATTGAGTTTGTTGTCTTCATCGGTATTGTCATCGGATCCAATCTCGTCATCATTTTTCTCGTTGTCAATCATTAATTGTATAAAATCCGATTTTTTATTTTCTATATAAATAATTTTTTTTTTAAATTACTTAATATTAAATACAAATATACATTAAACTAAATTACTTGATAAATTTTGTTGAATTGAACTAGCTAGTTTTCTATCATGGACAATTTGTTTGGTGAGATTATCAAAAAATTCAATAGCTTTTACATTGAATGGCTCCAGTTTAAGGAATCGGGCCAACGGTGGCATCAATACTGATATTATGAAACTAAAGTTTGAGTCAACCGATAATATTTTTTTGGCATTTATAACAATCGGATGATTAGGATTATTGATTGAATCGACATCTATGCCATAAGCACAGGCACTGATCACATCCATGGCAAATGCGCCCAAATATTTACGCATATCTAATGGTTTGCCTAAATATATAAACAAATATTTATTTTGTATATATGTAATGTTTTTTTGTGTGTGTATATAACTTATATATAATTATAACTATAATTATAATTAGTAAAATATAATTATATATATAATTAGTAAAATAAATTATATTATTTAGTCGTACAATAATTTAATACCTGATTTTGATAATTCAGATAAAGTTATAATAAATTTATCGGAGATGTCGTCAATGTTGGTCATCATTGTTCTTAATTTTCCAGACGTAAAGGCCGGTGTGACTACCGATCGGATGCGTTTCCAGTTTTCATCGCCTCTCATAAAAAACAGTGCATTTCTGAAATTTGTTGATCCCGTAAACATACCGTAATGATCGGGTAATATATGAAAATCTTTGACAACAATGTCTCTGATAAGATCCGGTTCATTGACTACAAGTAACTTATGATGAAAAGAGTAGACACCATATAGTCTACCGAATCGGTTATATTCGTGAACTAAAACTTTGTTCAATTGCTCGAAAAATGACCAAAACTCGGGATAATTGGGACCTTTAACTCCGTGTCGATTCCAGTAAGTAAACCGATGACATAACCAACTATAATATTATTTTAAACAATTACCAATAAAATACAAATAAACACAATTATTTGGAAAAAGATTTTTTTTTTTAATACTTACACTAAAATAATTGATAAACTGATCAAAATTGTTGTCCAAAACATTTTTGTTAATAATTTAATAATACATACAAAAAACTATTAATAATAATAACAATAATCAACTATCAAAAACAGCATAAATATACTTACTTAATATAAACAAATATATACAGTAATATTTGTAAACTAAACAAAAAATTTCAAGGCTATTTTATGATTAATATCAGCAAATAAATAAAATTTAAAAAAAGTTAGATATTGATATGAAAAGTGCAATAATTATAATTAATTTGTAGGTGCATTGTGCACTCTATTTTTATCAATAATTTTATCGATCATATTTATGGATCATGATTTTCATAATAAATATTTAACATAAAGTTATCAATTGTTACGTTAATTAACTGTAAAAATGATAGTCTAATTATTATTATTATTACTTACAGTATATACTGTACATTTCATATTACTATACATTATCGTTAATAGTACAGTACATTAACATATATTGTATATATTAATATATATATATGAATCAAAACTATGACATCGGAAATTACAAATATTTTATTAAAACTTGGAAATATCGATATAATTTTATGAATTTAATAGTTATTAAATCAAATAATAAAAGATAAAATATGGGTTAAGGTTTAGATTAATAATAAATGTAAAATCATATTATTTGATGGGTATTATACGGTACAGTATACTATTAAATAATTTAAAATAATATAAAATACATTTTTGAAAATAATTATATAGAACTAATTGTTGATAAAACATACATTTAACAAATAAAACTTAATTATTTTAAAAATTAACATTAAATTATTAAGTGAAAAATATATTAAATTAAAAATACAAATTACTTATAATACAAATTGACATTATATAATATTAAATTAACATTTGTATATAACACAAATAATTTTACGATAAATATGGATAATACTTAAAAAAAATACAGTATTTTTTAAAAAAATAAATTACAAATTATTTATTATTATTATTAAATAAAATATTGTTTTTTCTTGTATTTCATTAGTAAACTGCCGGTTGTTTCACACGTTTCTGTGTTTTCAATTTCCTTCGTTTTGATCGAAGTTTATGTTTGTATTTCCTATTTCTGGTAATTTTGTCAACCATTGGAGTACAACCGTATCTCTCGAGCTTAAGATCTGACTTTTTGATCTCCAAAAGACAATTGATTTGTCTCTGTTTAGACAATAAAGACAAAATAAACAGTAAATATTAAAATATCAATTATATTGTAATAAAAAATTATAAGAAAGAAAGAGAGAGAGAAAGAAAGAGAGAGAGAAAGAAAAATAGAGGGAAAGAAAGAGACAGAAAGAGAGACAGAAAGAGAGACAGAAAGAGAGACAGAAAGAGAGACAGAAAGAGATATATATATATAATTTTATAATTTAATAGATGGACACATACTTCACATCCGTTATCGTCGTTACAATTGGCATTAGTAATGATGGATATGATAACCCGTACCATATAATCGATGTCCATTCCTGTCATTTTCATGGCCTCATTGATCTCTTCCACTGCATAATCAACTTTAACAGTAAACATTTGTTTGACAGTTTTGTCGACCATTTCAATGAGTTGGTCGTCATCCATATTCAACGGTTCCTGTTTGTTACCGTCCTGTCCACCGACCAGTGATAGCACTGTTGATATTAGTAGTACACTAATGGCCAACATTTTACATATATAATTATAATTATGATATGATATGATATTACAGTTGGTTTTTTAAAAAACTGAAATCATAGAAAAAAATTAAGAGATAATATTATAATATATTTTTATAAAAAACTAAAATAAATTGTTGAACAATGTTTGCGATGTCTTTTATATTTATAGACAACAAAATTTTGTTTAAATCTAAATATCAAAACAACACACTAATAAATCTTCAAATGTTTGCTATTTTTAGTAAATTTTTTAATAAGATATTTATTGATTGAGTTTTTTTTAATAATAAAAATTTGTTTTCTTTGCCTATAAATACAATCACTTTATTTTAAAACATAAGATTTCTCAATCGTGACCTTTAAAACTTTTAAATGATAATATATTTTTATGACAGCATATATTGTTGTAAAATAAAATAAGTGTTTTTGTTATTGTGGTTGAGATGAATGAATAATTAATTTAAATTAATTGGATATTTTAATTAATATTCTGATTAAAAAAAGGATGTATTAGTTTTATTTAAAAAAATAATTATTATAACAATAAATTATTATAAATATTTGATAAAAATTTTGTTAGAGTATTATAATTTTTACAATTTTTATAAAAAATAGTTGTTTACTTATTTTCGTTATAAAAAAAATTATAAAAACATTTTATAAATATTAACTGAAAACTTTTCAATGATGGTATCATAAATTAAATTTATAAAAACATAAATACATGTTTATTATTATTATTATATTCATAAAATCGGATTTATTATTATTATTTAGGAAAATACATTTTTATAAATAAAATACAAAATGTCTTTAAACTTACAAATAAATTGTTTTTATATTTTTTTGTTGAAAATCCAAATCCTGTGTCATTAGAAACAAAGGAAACCCATAATAAATAATAAATAATTTTATAACTCTTTGTTTATATTAAATAATAATAAAAATTTATATAATAGACCAAAAAAAAATTTGTCAAAATTTACCACTAAATTAATAGTCAACTCATGTTTGGGTATTTTCACAGTAATTTATTTTAATATGTGTTTTACATGTAATAAATTTAGCTTATTGTTAAAAGCATAATATAATTTTGTAATAATTTAGTCACATATTAAAAATAATTCACATAAAAAACATGTGTTTAATATTAATGTATATTCAGTATTATACAGAATTTAAATAATTAAGAACACATTTTTTAAAAAAAATAATTGGGTTTACATTAATTAGTATCATTTACCTAGATTAAATTTATTTTTTATTATAGTCATTATTATTATTATTTTATAGATCAAAACTTTATTACAAAATTAAATGTTTGTTTTTTTTGGTATTTTTTTAGACAATTTATATTTCCTGTAAACCAAACATTTCGGGTCTAAAATCAGCCAACGATTTGATTACAAGCGTTGCTAAAGACGATTCAGTTGTTGAGTTGAGGCGTTCGTCTATTACCAAAACACATGACATACCGGCACCGATGGCCGCTCTACAGCCAACCTCATTGTCCTCAAATACCAGCACATTGGCTGCCGATTCTGGTAATGGTTGAAATTGCTGATAAGCTCGCAAATAGACATCGGGATCGGGTTTTGGTAAAATCTGTTGGCTCTTATCGCCGGCCAGTACGGCGTGATTGAAACTGTCGAAAAAGTCACCGAAACGACCTGCTGTACCGTCGTATGAGTGCCGATCATTGCCCGACGCTATGGCCATCGGAATGTTATTGGACTTAAAATATTCGACAAGCCGTCGGGCACCGGGCATTAGTTTCATACCCGACTCTTCGACAATTGCCATACAATTCATAATTAATTCATTGATAAACTGTCCGATTGTCAGTTCCGATGACTTGAAATTCAAGTCTTTATAAAGCTGTTGAATACGCTCTTTGAATGGATGGCCTAATAGTTTCTCTTTGATATCAAATCGGACCGGTTTGTCAAACTTGTCGCACACGACGTCCAAAGCTGTATAGAGTAGTGACTCGGAGTCGACGAGTGTGCCGTCCATATCAAAGATCACATGAGTTATCGGCGCTGAAGTCAACATTATTGGTGATCAACACTTTATTTTAATAAAAAAAACTAATTATTAAAAAAAACTTTATTTTTCTAACGAGATTTAATTAAACGCATAAGTATTTGCTGTAATAAACATATGATAACATAGGAAAGTGAGATTAAAAATTGTTAACTAACTATTTATTAATAATCATCAATAAAAAATATAAATAAAATTTATTAAATATTTGTAAAATAATTTTAGCTACAAAACTAATATGAATAATATATACTAAATTGTATTACTATTTTTATTGTCCTCATCTCAAACACATGTTTGTTTGACAAACAATTTTTCAATTATAATTAATTGCTAATAATGTAGAATACCATTAATAGCGATAGTATTGATGTTTAAAATAGACACAAACACACAATTAATTTGTTAAACTAAAAAAACATATTTGATATGTTTTTAAGTTAAAAATTTTAACTATCAATTTAAAGAAATTATATAAGTTTAATAATAAATTTTTAATGATTATTATTATTCCCCTACATTATAACCCTAATGCACTTAAACTAAATCAAATTGCACTTATGCACTATATTATATAAAATGTTGTATCAATTATACAATATTATTGATAAAATAAAATTTATACACTAAATTATAGACTAACTAACGTATATTTTTATGACAACTTGATTATACATGTATTTTGTTGCTTGTATTGATCATATAGACTACTAAAAAATAATAATTGCTAATAATTAGCTGTTAATATAATTAATAATAATTATTACTTCTACATAATTAAAATTGAAGATGTTAGTATAGCAATGAAAATATAAATCATCAAAAAAAATAATATTATTTAATACAATTCAATAATATTTTAAATAACAATAATAATATTTTTTATTATTATTATACAGACCTTGAAAAGTGATTGATATTGAAGGTTAAAAATGTATATATTTTTACGATTATTACAATATACTGCTCAGTTTGTTTAGTATACCAAAATATTTATCAACAATAATTTTTTAATTGCTTATAAAATTGTTATTTCAAATAATTATTATTATTAAACCATCATATATTTACTGTATATAATTTACATTATATATATGCAAACAATATAATGAACTCTTCAAAACACTTCAAGACACGAGTTTAACGTCTGATAATTACTTTATTATTATTAATAATAATCACAGTATTATAATGATTAGAGTATAATAATATTATCAATAGTTTACAAAACTGTTTATTTTTATAATAATTATAATAATAATTTTACAATATTTATTAATAAATGTAAATTTGAAATGAGAAATAATATTTTTAAATTAAATATCATAATTTTACATTGATATATTTTTTAAAAGATTTTTTTGTTTAACTTAAAATAATTTATATTTACGGTAAATACCTTTTTTTATTATAATGAAATCAACAATTTCTTAAATGTAATGTATAAATCAAACAAAAACATAATACAAATACTGTACGTAATATATCATATATAATTAAAAATAATAATAATATGTAAATTATCACTTTATTTGAGTATCTTGTCATCGATGGTCACTTCAATCACATTATCGGGTAAAACATTAACAAACTCTACGTCAAACAACTCTTCTCTGGACTCCAATTGTTTCAACCGATAGTAAGTGATACCCGTTTTGTTGATCGGTCGACAGTGTATGGCCTGTGGTGTCACCTGTTTGTAGCCCTCCAACAGTCGGTAACAATCTTTAATCTCAACGGTTTCGGTCAAACCGATGTCAATATAAAAGACACTAATTTGAAACTCGTTTTGCTGTTTCACTGCAATCGCCCGAAGCCATTGACTCTCGAAACTATAATATGAGGCCAAAAGTGAGCTATTATTCACCAGTTGTCTCACTTCCTGTGGCGTCAAATCTTCTACTTCTAGATTATTGTAATAATCGGTCATATCTTTAATAAGTGAATCCAATATATCCAACGACTGCTCCAATTGGCAATACATAGACTGAGCTGAGATAGCATTGGATATCTTTACAGTAGTTTTAGCTCCGCATAGATTCAACAGATTTTCATGGATTGTTGTCTCCAAGTCGTCGCTGTCATCTTCTTCAGTATTTTCTTCTCCTTCTTCTTCATTATCTTCTTTTAGTTGTTCTTTAATAACATCATTGGTTTCTTTATCCTTTACGTCAACAATCTTTTCTGTAGAACTGAAATCATTAATTTTTTCCACAGCTATTGGTTCGGCATATTTGATGTGTTTCTGTGGACTATTCTGTTGTATTTGTTGTTGTTGTCGCTCATCGACGATACTGTCAACAACACTAAGTTCTTCATCTTCATCATCACTACTGAACACAACGTTAGTCATCGATTTGATAATATCCTTGTATTTGTGATTATCCTTATTATGATTTACAGTTATATTAATGTCTTGATTTGAACTACGAGTTGATGTATTGCTAACAGTTTCTTCATTGACATTGTTATTATCTTTGATTTTATTATCGGAAACCATTAAATCAATCAATTGTAACGACTTCTCAATTGATTCGCTAATAGAATGTGGAGTTGTATTGTGTGTTGCAATGGATGTCATTCGCAGATCAATAGGACTACTTTGATCTTTTACTTCTGCGATCACCGGAGTTGGCTTAGAGTTCAAACTGATGTTAATGGATGACAAATCATAAACAGATCCTGATATGGAACCAATTGGTGATTCATTCAAACAAATTAATGGTTTACTATTGTTTGTCTCTCTGTTGTAGTCAATAGCGATACGATTGGATATAATCGGTGCCATTATATCGTCGTCCAAATCGACAATAATATCGTCTAAACAGTCTCTCTGTAGAGCTTTGATAACAACCTGTTCCCTAAAATTGTCATATATTTTGGTCAATCGTTTATCGCCGTATCCATAGATGGCAAACGTTAAGACAGATCTAACAAATTGTTGCAGACATTGAGTGATCCGATGTTTATTGAAACCTAAAAGAAAAGTTGCGACCAAACCATTAGATTATCCGATTATAAGATTTTGTCGACAAAAACAGTAATACCTTTAATGACATCTTTGGGCCGAACGGAGGCCAATGAATAGGACTGAGCCAGTGGTGGATAATCGCAGAACAGTTCCGCGTAGACAAAGAGCCATTCATTCGGTACGGATTCACTGTAACCGAAGTCGATAAACGTTACCATCGATTGGCCTTTTGTCGGGTAATCGTATGCGTCCAACAAAACGCGATAAAAGTTGTGATTATATTTGTCGCTATAAAATCAACAACAAAAAAAATTGGACACTCATTACAAACTAAGACCGGCGCGCGAGTCAATCAGTCAATACTAACCAAAACATATAATATTTGCCGACATGAAAGTCGGGCAATTGACGATCGCCGGCCATTGCATAGCACACGTTAAACATGCCCTGAAAGTGACGGTCTAGTATCTGATCAAATCGGTTCACCAAATTGCGGTCACTTTGGGCCGAAAAAGTAATGCATTTGTCAGTAACTTCTACGTGAGTGATAAAACACTGGCGCCAATCGGGTCCGAGCCGTAGGTCAGACATACTGATGGTGTCCGCGAAAGAGAGAGAGAGAGAGACAGAAATAGTTTAGTAGCGATAGATATGTGATGTTATGATTGATTGATAATATCATATATGACTCGTATTGTTAACATCGATGTCAATGAAATACAATTCAATAATAACACGTGTTTTACATTAATATTAATATTTGATGAATGATTGCAACAGTTTTTAATAATATAACTTCTATTGACTTATAAATTGATAGTCAATGACATGCAATACATACAAACACTAGAGATCAAAACGGATTGGTTTTTTGGATAGCAATAGAGAGAAATACTATTTGAATTATCGGATCAAAAATAAATAAAATTATTACAATTTATTATATTATAAAGTCATAGTTATAGTAAAAAAATTAATTGATATGTAAGTAATTGTGTAATGTATTGTTTAATCAAATTTTGTTTTTAATTAAAATAACATAAAATATGATTATTAAATATTTAGATATTAACGTTTATATAGCCTATAAGTAATTACAGTATACTTTAAGTTTTATAAAGTTTTGTTTACAAAATAAAAACTATAAACACTTAAGTTTATTGAAAATTCTGAACCACTTAAAAATATACTAAAAACTAATTGTTTTGCTTTTTAAAAATTATTGATTTATTTAATTTTCTAGTTGTTTTAATTTTCTATAATATATAAATAAAAATAATTTGTAATTTTATCAAAATAAGCAAACATTTTTAATTATTATTTTTACATACAATCAATCATTATATTATAATATCATAGTCAGTGAAATTAACTGGATATGAATTTATATAAAAAATACTTAATATATACAAATAATATGTAAAATATAAAAATATATAAATAATTTAGAAATTATTAAAATTATTATATAAAAATATTCATTATATTATTAAATTAAACATTAAATTCCTGTTTTTTGTTGAATCCATGAGCGATATACAGGAATACTAGTGAATATATCGGGTCGTCCGTCAGCACAGGGAACCGGTACACCACAAGCTATTCCATATTGTACACCATTTATCATTAATGGTCCACCTGAATCACCCTGGTAGATTGTGTGTAAAATATAAAATATTATCTAAATTTGTCATTAATTAATATATTAATTATTTTGTTTACAAAACATATGCCACGTCCTGGACTGTTCAATGTGCATATATTTGAACTAGGTACATCCCATATTTGCTGGCACTTATCTATATTGAATGTTCTGGTTGGTACTGATTGCAATTGTTCACCAGTTTGTCCATTAGCCAATTGACCCCATCCCATAACCATACCCCAGGTTCCATCAGCTACCTGACCACTGGCTAATCTAGTAGTGGTAACCGTATTACTAAATACAAATGGTTGGGTAATCTGAAGTAGGGCTATATCGTTTGTGCATGCTGGATCGTAACTATATTGTTCATTGACAATCACCTGTTGGACCTGATACTCTTGGCCATCAAAACCGCTAAACGTAGATCTGCCAACAATAACTCTAATCTGATCCGGTCTAGCTATATAGTTTGTACTAATAATAATAATAAACATTTTTTTTATTTTGAATAAATGATAATCAATTGTTTAGTTTAAATAAAAAATTTAAAAAAACTTTTTATATTTGTTACCTTTTATCATATACACAATGGGCAGCGGTTAGTACCCAATATTTACCAATGATAGTGCCACCACAATACTCATCTTTTGATATTGTAATTCCCAACAGTGCTAGATATGGGAACTGTTGTATATATGATGGTCTGCCACCGATAATCTTTTCATCCAATGATATATTGGATTTTGAAATTATTATACAATGAAATAATATTAAACACAATAATAATAATTTATCAAACATAGTGTGTTTAGTTAGTGTATACAGTATTGTATATTAATTGATAACTGCTTAATTAATAAACTGTTCTAGCATCATTTATATAGTATCATTATATACTGTATATAATACTGTATTATACCGGTATATTGTAAATTACAATTTGTAATATAAATTTATATAAGAGTATAAACTTAGTGACGCAGATAATGCTTATGAAATACTAATAATTTATGCTAACTATTAATTATCATGATGATTTTAGTGAAATTTTATTTTTTGAAAAATTAATTACTTGGTATTAAGATGATAATTAATTTTGTTTAATAATTATAAAATTTATTTTAAAAAATATTGAATTAGTATATATTTTTAAATTAAATTATAGGAATTTAATTGTAGAATATTAAAAAATAAAATAAAATATTATTCTCTATTAATTTTAATTAAGTTTTGGTAATTTGGTTTATTATATTTTATTATCTGGAAATTTTTGAAATCTCAAGTAATAATAATTACTATTTTTGCTAATTATCAAAATAATTGTAAATGTTTTAAATAATTTTGTTTTATCAAATAAACTTTAATATAACTATTACAGTAAGTTATAACCCTTTGACTAACACTAATTAAAATAATTAATTTATAATTTAATTATTAGATATATAGTAAATATCACTAATATTTCAATAAAAAAAACATTTCAAGTATTTTTTAAAATTTATTATTTATTAATGCATTTTTTACATTTAAAATGATCAAAAACAGAGTATTATAAAAGTAAACATTATCAATAAAATTGAATTGCAATTAATTAATAAATTGTTGAATAAATGCAGCGATTTGCTGATGATTGTTGACCATAAAGTTAGTGTGATTGCCATCGATTGTCTCAACAATACAATTGCCGGTAATTAACTATAAAAAATAATATCCAATTAATAACCAATAGTTTACAAATAATATATGTTTTTTCTTACTATACAATAGTATTTATAAATTTTATTTAAAATATATAGATATATGCATACCTTATTGAATCCGTAATCGTTTTCAACAATATATTGTTTTCTCGAGTCTGTCATCGATGTGTTGGTCAACAGGTACTGATTGGCCCGAACCAGAAGGACATTGCCATCAAGTTTGGGCCGTTTGTCCCATTGATAGTCCAGTGCTTGCGACCATTTAACCAAATGAGTTTCCAATGCAAATATAACTTCTTGATGGCCACAGTTGATAGTTGGCGGACACTTGTCAACAAACAGTTTGGCCACACGATCAATGCGCTCGCGTTTGTCCATCACTTGGGAAACATTTTTGGCCAACTCTTGTGTGTCGACCGATATTTTGTCCATTAAGAATGTAAACATAATGTTTAGGTCCCGATCGATACCCAATATGTCTTTTGTTGCATCTAATGATAGCGACAGATCATGTTTGGTCTGAACCGGACACATGTCTAGTGCCACGAGTTTGGGCTGATATCTATAGTGTCGTTCCTGAAGAATAAGACACATTTCAAGTGAAACAAATACACCGTATGAATAGCCGATGATATCAAACTCCAAATCCGTTGATTTGTTTCCAAAGTTTTCATTTATGATATCCAAGAAGTGTTGAGCAGTTTTGCTAATTGTATCAAATTTAAGACAATCGGAAGTCCAGTTGAGTCCAATTACCGGCCGGTCTATAGCGGCAACTATCGGAACAATTTGATGGTAAGTGCCGTCAGTCGGCGGCATATAAAATATTTTACGACCGGTGCGGACATCGTTGAGATATACAAACTTTTCAGTCGGTATCTTAAATACTTCTAAATTGATAGTAGAATCAGGTTTTTCTTTTGGATCTAATGCTGACATTTCTTTTTTTTCATTAACAGCACTATTAGTTTTTGCCGACTTTCCTCCACCAGGTTTACTACCTATTTGTCTGATTCGTTCAATTGTCAGATTCTGTATCTCTTGTGTGGACAAAACCACATCAAAGTTGTGTTCAATTGATTGCTTGATCTCTACACTCATCAGTGAATCCATTCCCAGTTCTGAGAGACGAACTTTCGGATCGAGTTTATGGATCTCTTTGTGGCCCAAAATGTGCGCTACTTTTGTCAATAAATCTTTTTGATCACCTGATGCACTGGACTTACGATTGATATCATTGTAAATAACACTGGAACAGATAGTGTGATCGCTTTGTAACAATTGATCCAATGTTTGCAAACATGAATATAGTCTCTGTGAACGAATAGCGCCTAAAATGTGGTCATCGGCGCTGATGTTATCGGCAACATAGCCAACATCACCGACTAATCCCCACTGTACGGCCAGTGCAGGTAAACCATCACATCGGCGACGTTCACATAATCGCTCCATAATTGAATTGGTGAACCCGTAGTTAGTTTGACCTGGATTTCCATGACATGTGACCGCTGATGAAAATACGACAAAATAATCCAAAAGTGGACACATTTTGCGGGACAATTCGTCCAAATGCTTCAATGTTTTAGACTTTGGTTCAAATACTTTATCATAAGACTCTACAGTTTGGTTCTCAAGAATACCATCGCTGAGTACAAGTGCCAAATGAAAGATACCACCGATTGTTCCCATTTTAAGACACTCTTCTAACAGATCTCGGGCGCAATCAACTGAACTGATTGGTTGTGTCCACAGAGAAACCTCGGCTCCAAGTTCTCGGAAATATTTGAGTCTTGAAAATTGATACGGCTGTTTGGGTCCAGTTCTTGATGTAACCACAAACTTATTGGCACCTCTTTGGATCATCCAATCAATTATCTCGAGACCCATACCACCCAAACCACCCGTTAGTATATATATCTTATTAGAATAGAAGACAGTGCGAGGATTGGCTAACATCTTGATAGGTGTGAAGTCAACCAATGTTTGATTCAATGGTTCTTCGTCTCTGATTTTGACCAGAACTTTGCCGACATGTTTACCGCTGGCCATAAAACGGAACGCTTCTTCACACTTGTCTGACGGATAAACTGAACGATCAAGTGGTACGACTACACCTCTAGCTATACCATCGCTGATCAGTTCCCAAATCATTTTTCTATCCTTAAGCATCGTCTTCGATGTCTTATCGTTGACTACAAATAAAGTGTCCACTTGTATGCCGTGAAATGTTTTGTTGACCAACATTTGCGAAGTATCTAATTTTGTGTCTTTTGACAGATCGTATTTGCCAATCTCGAGGAATCGGCCATTACTGGCCAAACATTCTACGCTTGCCATCAATTTTTTGTCGGACAAAGAGTTAAGTACGATATCAACTCCTGTACCGTTAGTTTCTGCCATTATATGTCTCTTAAAACTGACGTCACGTGACGAACAAAATTGATTGTCTTTTAAAACGGGAAATAATTTTTGCAGATATTTCTGTTTTGTTACCGAACCAACAGTTATGAATAGCTGACAGTTCAGTGATAGGCATATCCTAATGGCTGCCTGTCCAACACCTCCACTGCCCGAATGAATTAGCACTTTCTCATTGGCGCAAAGTTTGCCGCGAATTATCAACGCATAGTATGCAGTGGCGTAAACACAGGGAACTGTAGCCGCCTCTTCTAGTGTCCAGTGCTCGGGCACTGGCCATAGAAAATCTCTGTTTTCAACTATACATGTAGTGGCCAACGCTTTTGATACTATCATACCCATAACGCGATTCATTTTTTCATCCCTTCCGGTAAATTCAAATCCAATTAGACACTCAGTCTCACCGGTAGGCGATTCAGTGACCAGTCGTCCTAATAATTGATTTATAATATCAATTATATAATATTATTTATAATCATAACATTATATTAACACTTACCGGTAGCTAACATGATATCCTTAAAATTAAGCGCCGAATAGTATATATGAACCAATTTTTGTCGATCACTGCCATTGATTGGCCACAAACGGTGCTGACATTCATACCATTCAAACGATGATAGATCTCCTTTGTTTCGAAGATTTATGAAACAGTGTTCAGAGTAGCGCTTATCGGGTCTTTCGGATAACTTATTCATGACATAGTGTCCGACACTACCGTTTTTAATTACATTTATTGCTAAATCATTAGCAATAATTGAGTTAATATTATTATTTTTAATTATAGCATCATTGACATCAAAATCCAAATTATCCATTATCTGTACGCATCTTACACGGTGTCCATTAGGCTCTTTGCTCAAACATTTCATAAAACCTAACAGTCCCTTATCTTCACCTTTAGCTATAAGCCATACATTTTGATTGTCCGGTTTGTTGGCAATTGATTTTATTTGATCTTTAACTATAGGCAACCAATTTTGGTAATCATTGGTAATCTCGACGATCACCTGTTGTTTGTCAACATCTGATTGTTTGCCAAAACATTTTCTGAATAGAATTGAATGCATAGAAAAACAGTCCGATTTGTTGGATATCAACGAAAAGTCATATTTTTGTGCCATTGATATCAAACTGTCAGTAAGTGATATGTTTGAATCGGACGGCAACTTCAATCCCAGTGATGAATATATAAACTTTTCAGCACTACTTAACTTATCCTTTAATACAATAACAACAAATCCATTAGTTTTAAGTTTTTTATGAAAACTTTGAAAAAGTGTTTCCAAATCAATATCTGATTCATTGTTTTGCAAATGTGACAGACTTTGGTCTTTATAGACAATTAGATCCACACTTTGATCGACAACTTCAGGTGCGATACAAGAATCGTGTAAATGATATCGTTTAACACTTGAACTCAATTCATCCATGTCTTTGATTCGCGAGTTTATTACCGAATAATCGATGTGAAGACTATATTGATAAATGTCAATAGCGTTCATCACCGGTGCATACCATAGACAAGAGCTATCATTTACTTCGACAACACATAAATTCTGGCCATTATTTTCATTCATGTTTTCCAATACAACAGTCAGTTGAGAACGAAGAAAGTTTGTGTCCATAACTGCTGATGACATCAGATCTCTGTCCAGGTCTTTGACAGCAGTTTCCAGTGGTGGCGCGGGATTACCATCACTCATATCTAACAATATGTTATATAATGTTTTCATTTCATTAGGAATTTTGCCCATAATATCGGCATCACTTCCAGATAATGAAAATCCCATTTCCTTCTTCATTATTTTGACAGCCAATTCATCGCACAATTGTCTATACTTTAGGTATGAGCTTTGAGTTTCATAGATATACTCTCCATTAAACGATTCAAACTCATAGGTTCTTAGCGCCGGTTTCTGTGACTTAATATTACGCTGCAATGGACTGGCTTTGACACCTCTTATCTCAAGGCCATTGGTCACAGAAATGTTTAAATAAGGATCATATATGACCTCCACTTCCGATTGACTTTTATTGTTGAATAGTACAAATGGATCACATCTGAGCAATTCAATGGTCACCGGCACCAGTAGTTGTTTTGATTTCATTCCCAATATCGAGGTTTGTAGAGCACAATCTGTAAATGTAACCCAATTATCCATCCAAGCTATCTGTGCCACAACATATAGATCATCGATTTCACGTGACTCTCGTATACATTGAAATTGTTTGCCATAATTATAGCCACAGATTCGCAACTTTTTATAGATATCTTTTGTTTTCATTAAAATAACATTATTGTCTTGATTTTTGTCCATCGATTTGATCTCATTAATAATTGATCCGTATTGCAGCTGATTGTGTTGAATCTCACATACAGTTCCAGTGGCCACTAGTGTGCCACTGTCAATAATGTCAAACCTACCTGTTAGCGGATCCAGATTTACGTAAAGCTTAACTTTTCCACCCTTTTGAATGGGTGTAGCCCTTAAAATCTGGACGTCGCGAAACTCGACGGGAAATTTCTTATAATCAATCTTTTTGTAAAATGCCAACGATTTCCAGGCAAACAATAGATAACCAGTTGCCGGCACCAGTATTTTGCCATCAATACAGTGGTCAGCTATATACTGATCATTTTGATCCTATCGATTAGTGTAATAAAAATATAAGTAACTTATTTAAAAATGTTGGGTCAGCTCAGTTAGCTTAACGCTTACCATAAAGTCTATAGTATACGACTCGTCCTCTTTACTGCTGAGAAAGTTAAAATAATCGGGAAATTTGGTTAACCGATAGCTTTTGGAGTGATCCCATTTGATTAGAGATGATAATATTCTAGTGCCTGTGGATACCGGTGCTGTAATTGAGGGATAAAGTTTTTCAATGTTCAAATTGACTCCCTGTGCATACAATAGACCAAAACTTTTTAGTAATGTTTTCGAGATATTAGTCGAAAGATTTTGACCCATAAGAGGAATGTATGTAAAATTAGGTCCAATTGTCGGCAGCTCAGACCCGAACATGGCATCGGGTGATATTTCAACAATGATAGCATTTTTATCTACATAAGCCAGTGTTGTTTGCATAAGTGTTGGACTTAGGAGGCTATCAATGAAAAACTTGCCGTCAATTTTATTAGATGTCAAATCATTCAAATTGTTGGCTGTATTTCTAATCCATTTTCCAGATTTACTATATTTTGTTGTTATTATTATTGAATTTAACGATTGAAGAAGTGATTCATAATTAGATGTCATATCCAATGAACTTTTTAGGAGTTCCTCATAATAATTGTCCAAAAATTTTGTTATATTTTTCTCTTTTACGGTTTCATTAAAATCACTTTTTTTGGCAATTGTATCAATAAATTTACCGCAAAAATATGCTATTTCTAGGGCCTGTTCACTGGTAATATATTTGTCAGCGTAAGCGCAAACTATTTCACCGGTAGAGTAGCCAACAATGATATCGGCATTTAAGCCCAAATCAATGAGTAGATCTGTAAGCGCTATCTGTATGGCCACCAATGAGACAATTGAATTAATTGCTGATCTATTGATATCCGACTCTTTTTCGGTTAACATTTCCATCAAATTTATATTATATTTGCTTAAATAGTTATCTGATCTGCTTATGGATTGTGAGCAGACATCAAAACACATTAGATCTTTAGCCATTGCTGGCCATTGAGATCCAACTCCTGTGTATACCAGACATAATTGTTTAGGAGTTTTCGGCACTTTTTGAACCACAATAGGAGAGTATTTCAATTCTGGCTGATTCTGTCTCAACAATGAAAAGCCCCGGTATCTCATGGGCTGATATCCCGTGCTTTTGTCATCAAACGGAGTGCTCTTTGATAACTTATTTACCAAATATAGTGTATCTCTTGTTACAGATTTTGGTTTTTCAAATAGTCGGCTRAAAAAATATCGAACCGCCTCTTCATTGCGACCGCATATCTGCACCAAACGAGGATATTTATCGACTACTACTGCATTATCTACCGATGCTTTTAACTTTGGCGACCGAAGTATAAGATGTGCATTAGAGCCGCCAAAACCAAAGTTATTCAGACCAATCAGATCACCTGTAAATGATGTGTTTTTATTGATAGGCTTTATGTGACCACTGATGAGACTCTCGATTCTTGGATTAGGATTATTAAAGTGTAGGTTTGCGGGAATCACTTCGTTTTCAAAGGCCAACACCACTTTACTAACGGCACACAATCCGGAAGCGGCTTCACTGTGACCGATGTTGGACTTTAACGCCCCGATCATTAACGGCTTATCCCTTATATGGTCTGACAGTAAACAAAATAAATAATTATAATTATATTTAATTAATTCTAAGTACCGGTGCATACCTTTAACCATTGCATTATAGATAGCTCGCATTTCAACAGGATCTCCAGCTTTAGTACCTGTGCAATGTGCTTCCATATATTCTACTGTTCCCGGATCGATACCGCACTCGGCGTAAGTTTCTTTAATAACAATATACTGTCTCTCCCAACTGGGGAACGTTATGCCTTCCTTTTTGTAGCCATCATTGTTTGATTTAATATTGAGTATTGTGGCGTATATACGTTTAGCCGCTGGCCTTTTCTGCACTAATATTGTCACACAGGCCTCTCCTTTGGCGTAACCGTTGGCCTTTTCGTCCAAACACATGCACCGACTGTCCGGCGAAATCATATTGAGTTTGAAAAAATTATATTGAATTCCCGGATTAAACGACATATTGACGCCGACTACCAGTGCAGCATCGCATTGACCAGTTTTCAGAGCTATATAAGCTTCATGAAGGGCCACAAAACTTGATGCACAAGCGGTGTCGGCTGCAAAAGTTGGTCCCTTAAGATTGAACTTAAAGGCCAGTGTCTGGGATATCGTATTTTTATAAGCAGCCAATTGAGTGAAGTCTCGGTAGGCAATCAACTCTTCGTCCATGAATTGGCCGATAAATACGCCGGTATTACTACCGCTTAGAGATTCTGGTAAAGTGCCTAAACAAAAATGACAACCCATTATACAGTAAGTATTTTTGTTGTCTCAAAAAATAGTTTACTAAACAATTAAATACCTGAGTCACAAATAGCCTCGTAGGTGGTCTCCAGCATAGCCCTAATCTGGGCGTCCATGTAGTCGGCCTCCCAGTCGGATACACCAAAAAATTTGGCATCAAACTTTTCTGCATGCTTAATTTTGCCACTAGACATGGGACACTCATTGAAAACTGGAAATCAAACAATTATGAGGTCATACATGTGTTTTAAAAATAGTTATATATTTTTTTTTTAGTTAGTGATGTCTACTAAACCTTTAGGAAATCGTCTCTCATCGTCGGTAATCATATTAATATTATTGTAGAGATTATCACTAAACTCGTCGATAGAGTCAGACTCTGAATAGAAAATAATAATATTTTAATAATAAAAAAAATTATAAAATAATTTATTTATTATATAATTATATATATTTATAATAATTATTTCAATACCTGGATATCGTCCTGAGATACCAGAAATGACAAACTCTTCATTATTTGTTTTATCCATTTATTTTAATTTCTGTTAAAATATGTTAAGTTTAACACAAAAAAACAACTAATTTTATATAAAATTGAATAACAGCTTTCAAATAATAGTTATTGAAAACTGTTATTAACTAAGATTTTACTTTATATTATATTTGACTATAACAAACAAAAACTGTTAATTTATTGTTTTATTATATTAAAAATGTTATTTTATTTATAACAATAGTTTGTTAAGTGAGACAAACTATAGTTATTTTTAACATTATTATTATTAATAGATTGCATGTCTTTATTGTGAGAAAAATTTCTTAATATATATTAAATTTCAAGCTATAAACAAAATTTGAATTATTATATAATTTGAATAACATGGGATTAACATAAAAAACCCTTTAGCATATATGTAAATCATGTAGTAATATAAAAATATATTTTTTTTAAATTAAAAACTGATGACTATTGTGAAAAAAATAAAATAAAAATGGTTTACTAATAACCATGTAATTTGTATTGCATGTACTTTTATAATCTTATAATATAAAGTTTCCCAACAATAATTTTAGACCAATTATTATTGTTAAGTTGAAAATTTCTGGTAATTTAATATTTTAAGCAAATAATGTCATAATTTTCTTGCATTTTGATACACATGAGTAACTTTGGATTGTATTTTAATATAATTTTAATTAAAAAATTTATTATTCTTAAAAAATTAAATTTAATATTGTAATTAATATCATAATATTCTTTTGATTAATTGAATTATGAAAAATTAAATAATTATTTTATTAAAATATGATCTAAAAATATAATATATGCTTAAACTGAATTTAAACTTAGTTGTCATTTTTAATTACTGAATTAAAAATAATTGCTTAAATTAATAATTAAAAAACTATTTCGCAACTTAATTAACATATTATAATATAATGTTAATATTTGCTATAACAGTATTTATATTTATTAAAAATTATTTTGTTAAAATAATTTTATAGTTATTTTAAAAATATATGTTTAAGTAATTAAGTTTTATTTAGGGTAGCGTTAAATTGTTGAAATAAATAAGCAATTATAACATTTTAAAAAACTAATAGTATTAAAATAAAAATTAAGTTTATATTTTAAGTAATAGCTATTGATCTGTAAAGAGTGTTAGATAATTAAATTAAAACTAATAATAAATAATAACTAACTATAAATAATTGACATATTAATTAAATAATTTATATTAGTTTATAGGGAAACAAGTGATGATAGTTATGATAATTGGCTTAACAAAAATATTTATAATTTAATAAATAATAATAATAATACTAATATTTTTTAATAAAAATAATTTTATAGTATCTGTTTAAATAGCATAAATCTTCAATTATAAATTATCAATAAATTTTCATAAATAATAATTTTACTAATAAATATATTACCTCCCAAAAGTTGAAACTATAGAAAAATAGTGTTGTATGTGTGGCTGACAGTGACTTGTCATAGGATTTACAACCAATTGTTAATTAAAATATTAAACTTTTTTATTTAAAGATGTTTATATTTTTTCATATATAAAAATATCACTAAACTTAAGTTGTATATAAATATATATTAATAGATACAAGTCTTAATATATAACATTTAATCAAAACCTGTTTGCAATTGTCTCGTCAAACAAGTAATATTGGGCTTAGTGTGGGAATAACAACAAAAAATACCACAACTAATATTTAGTGACTTTTGTATTGACAACTTATGATTAGATCCGAAAAAAAGATAGTCGACATTAACTTCAAAATGTTTTTTTTGTTGACAATCGGGATGTCTATTAAATATAACCGTAACTAAAATGCACCAAAAAAAAATATGCCCCGATTTATGATGACAATGATGGTCTCGCGGCCACGTGATCATTGATCTCTGGCCCGATATCTGCAAGTCAACCAAAATTGCTTTCAATGGCCACTTCAATGGCTTTAAAGCTTCTATAACTCCCAGTACCGGTGCGCACCATCCCATTACACTAATATTAATGATGAAAGCTAATTGATTGATTGATTGTATAAAATTATATAAATATCAATAGATTTATCCTATACTAAATATTTTAAGCAGTCTTAAATAAACCAATGATGTGGTCATACAGTATATGCTAATTATAAGCAATAACAGTGTTAGGGATAATGCAATTGACTACAAATATCATTTGCCATCATTAATGTTATAACATTTATTACTTAACAAACTTAACCTGTTTGTCATTTGACAGTTATTTTGACTATAAATAGACCTAACATATAAAATCAGACAAATTGTAATAATGTTTTTATTTAATTTTTATTGATAACATAATTGTCTTAAAAATATTGTTTAAAAGTTTGGATTCTGCAAATTGATTGATATTTAATTATTATTAACTATATAAACTGTATACTATTATACTAACTATTAATGATTGTCAAAAAATCAATATTTACTATTCTTTATAGAAAAATAATTTGATAAAAATATTTAAAATGTTGATTTAATATTTTGAATAAAAAATGTATTTTTAATGTAAACTAATTATTTCATTTTAAAAAATACAACAAATAATAGTAAAAAACTGTTTTTAGAAATCAAAATTTATTGATTTGTCCGGAAAACAAAATCATGCCATTAGTTTTGTCAATTATATAGTATAGAAACGGGTGGTCAGCTTTAAATTCAATGGGTCTCGGTTTGGGAAAATTTGCACCAGTTGTTCCGACCACAACAATAGCCGTAACGGCTGCCGCTTCGGTACCATTTTCGTCGATTGCAATATAAGTTTTGTGTTTGATTTGCGATACAATCTGACTCGTAGTGGACAGTCGTGATAAGTCTGCCCTATCGGTCAATACAATTGGCTTTGGATTCACGTCTTGCATCAAATCGTATTCTTTCTCTGACTTAAACTTCGGTAATAAAAGACTAACATATGTTTCGGTCATTGATTTGATTGACTTTTCAAAGTTTATGGCATTGATTGATGACTTCAATGTCGACAATCCGTTCCTGATTTTAGGCAATACTATGAAAAAACTGATTTCATTTCCCAAATAAGACAATTCAATTAGTTGTGAGTTAAGCTCTTTAGAGTCGACATATCTGTAATAAGCAGTTGTTTGCATTGTGTCCACTGATTTAACACTATTTGTTTGGCCGTTATTATAAAAGTTAGACTTTTTAGTGTTTTTATCAGAAAACTTGTTCACCCAATTGCCTATTCATTTAAAATAATTCATTTTAATATCATTATTAATATTATAAGTAATAGATTATGAATACCTTTAAAATAGATGGCATTCATTATAATAAGAGTTGTTTGTTCACTGATTTTGTCAAAAATTTTCTGTATTTTATTGTTGGTGTGATTGCGAACCCATTGATTAAGTTTATCCGTTTCTTTCACCGCATTATTCTTGAAGTCAGCCATATCTACCTCAGCTCTAAAGGCCTGTTGTATTGCGTCAACAAAAACTTTTTTCAGTACTAGACTATCATTACGTACGACCAGATTTGCGACATTCAACTCGTGTTTAACATTACTAGACAAACGATTTTCTTTATCAGTTTTGGCCAAATAGTTTTGATAGGCTATACCTAAAAAATGTTTCAATTATGATAATAATAATATTGAACATATAATAACAATAATACAAAATGCAAATATAGACTAACTTTTGTTTTCATAGATTGTGTTAATTGTCTCAAATCCGTTGTCAATAATTTTATTACTTAACAATTGATTTGATTGTTTGTTGAGAAATGTAAGAAATGATTTCAAGTCATTCAATGTTTGGCCATTTGCACCGTTCAGTAGTATACCTATTCAATAGTATATTAATTTACACTAAAAAACATTTTTAAAAATACAATAATATATCATAAATAGCATACTTAACGCCGATATTATTGAAAACGATGAGATAATGTCATTGTTATCTTTGGCCAACATTTTGTATATCTTGAATGAAAATTCATTGTTTGCCTGAACCACCAATTTATCTGATCTATCATTTTTATTAATTGCTAATACAGTAGAGTCATAGACTTGTAAAATACTGACCAATAATAAAAGTAATAATAAACAATTCATACTATTGTCTGAGTAAATATATTTTTAATGTTATAATTAAAGTTTTTTTAGATTTTATAAGACTAATACAAATTAAATTTAATAAAATCAATTATATATATAGTATAAATAAAAATTTATTTATTATAGTAATCATTATATTATTTCATAAAATATGAATTACTTGCACTTATTATGATATACTGTATGCCATTATTTATTATAAATGTTTTGTAATAGTTTTGAAATATTTATATTTTAATTTAATGAATTAGTAAAAATATAATGCAATGATTCCAATTATTATTAAATTTCAATTTTTATTAAGTGAATTGCTATTATAGTTATTTGCTATTATATAAAATTATTATAAATGATAATGTTTTTTAATATTATAGTTATAATAGTATTTATAAAAAATAAAATAAAATTTATTATTGACTAAATATTGATAAACAATTATTAATATCTAAAATAATCTGAAGTTGATAAATATCTATGTTTACATAAATGACTAATTTATATTTATTTACAAATAATAATATTAAGTTAAAATTAACTTATTTATATTATTATTTTTAGATAATAAATTTTATTACTAAATTAAATATATTTATAGAATAAAATCAAATAACAATTATAATTGAAATAAAAACAAATATTGTTTATCAATTTATAATTATTTAATAGTGTTTACAACTCTATCATTTTTTAATTAATGAAACAAACAAATAATTGTTTCATGTAATGACTTAATGATATGAAATCATATCAATTCACATGTGTTTTAGGATGAGTTTTAATTAATCAAAGGTTAAACAGTATTAATATAATTATTTTATTTATCAAATGAGATTACAATCTATCATATAATTATTACAGTATAAAAACAATAATTGTATATTTTATAATTTTAATGTACACTATTATTATTATTATTATAATAGTGTACATTAAAATTATAAAATATACATTAGAATACTATTGTATAAGTATTTATTTTTTTTAAATGTTATTAAAATTTATTGATTTGTCCGGAAAACAAAATCATGCCATTAGTTTTGTCAATTATATAGTAGAGAAACGGGTGGTCAGCTTTAAATTCAATGGGTTTCGGGGGCACAATAGGTTCTACAATAGAAGTAAGTACCAGATTAATAGCCGTAACGGCTGCCGCTTCGGTACCATTTTCGTCGATTGCGATATAAGTTTTGTGTTTGATTTGCGATACAATCTGACTCGTAGTGGACAGTCGTGATAAGTCTGCCCTATCGGTCAATACAATTGGCTTTGGATTCACGTCTTGCATCAAATCGTATTCTTTCTCTGACTTAAACTTCGGTAATAAAAGACTAACATATGTTTCGGTCATTGATTTGATTGACTTTTCAAAGTTTATGGCATTAATTGTTGTCTTCAATGTCGACAATCCGTTCCTGATTTTAGGCAATACTATGAAAAAACTGATTTCATTTCCCAAATAAGACAATTCAATTAGTTGTGAGTTAAGCTCTTTAGAGTCGACATATCTGTAATAAGCAGTTGTTTGCATTGTGTCCACTGATTTAACACTATTTGTTTGGCCGTTATTATAAAAGTTAGACTTTTTAGTGTTTTTATCAGAGAACTTGTTCACCCAATTGCCTATTCATTTAAAATAATTCATTTCAATATCATTATTAATTTTTTAAAAAATAATAAGTTATGTATACCTTTAAAATAGATGGCATTCATTATAATAAGAGTTGTTTGTTCACTGATTTTGTCAAAAATTTTCTGTATTTTATTGTTGGTGTGATTGCGAACCCATTGATTAAGTTTATCCGTTTCTTTCACCGCATTATTCTTGAAGTCAGCCATATCTACCTCAGCTCTAAAGGCCTGTTGTATTGCGTCAACAAAAACTTTTTTCAGTACTAGACTATCATTACGTACGACCAGATTTGCGACATTCAACTCGTGTTTAACATCACGATTGTCTTCATTAGTTTGGGTTAAATACTTTTGATAGGCTATACCTATTTTTTAAATAATAAGAAAAAATTACTGAAATAAATAAACAGTACTTAATATATAAACTGTAAAACTATTGACTAACTTTTGTTTTCATAGATTGTATTAATTGTTTCAAATCCGTTGTCAATAATTTTATTACTTAATAATTGATTTGATTGTTTGTTAAGAAATGTAAGAAATGATTTCAAGTCATTCAATGTTTGGCCATTTGCACCGTTCAATAGTATACCTATTCAATAGTATATTAATTTACACTAAAATTATATTTTAAAAATACAATAATATATATAACATACTTAACGCCGATATTATTGAAAACGATGAGATAATGTCATTGTTATCTTTGGCCAACATTTTGTATATCTTGAATGAAAATTCATTGTTTGCCTGAACCACCAATTTATCGGATCTATTATTTTTATCAATTGCTAATACAGTAGAGTCATAAACCTGTAAAATACAGACCAATAATAACAGTAATAACAAGCAATTCATATTTTTGTATTTATAATGTTATCTGTTTTTTAAGATTTTATAAAACTAATATAAGTTAAATTTAAGAAAATAAAAACAACTATATATATATAGTTTTTATTAAAAATTTATTTAGTAATCATAATATTATTTCATAAAAATATGAGTTACTTGCACTTATTGTGATATACTGTATTGTATGCAATTAATTAATATAAATGTTTTTGAAATATTTATGTTTTAATGTAATGAATTAGTAAAAATATAATGCAATGATTCCAATTATTATTAAATTTAATATTTTATATAGTTTTTTATTTGCTATTATAAAAATTTTATTATTCTTAAAAATATTTTTTTTATTTGTTAGTTATATTAATAAAAATAACTTATTAATGACTAATTATTGATAAACAATTATTAATATATAAAATAATCGAAAGTTGATAAATATCTATGTTTACTTAAATGGCTAATTTATATGTAATAATTAAAAATAATAATATAGGTATTAAGTTAAAAGTAATAAACATTAATTATTTATTATTCAATTAAAACTATTTATAGATAAAAATCAATGACATATTAAAATATAAGAATAATAACTACTAAATTATATTTGTTTAAACATATATTATATGATATTAGATATTTTACATTCAAGTTTATTATTTTAATTTTAGCCGTAATAAATTAATTCAATTTAGATTTCAATTAATTTCTATACAGTATCTCACTTATTGTAGTCTTTAATGTTTATAACCTTTTTTTATTGAATGACACTAAATATATCAAATGATTTATGTAACAAAAATGATACAATTTATAGCTTTTATAGTTATCAAATGAAATTACAATATATTATACAATTATTATTACATTATAAGAACATTACACTAATAATACAATAATATTATAAATTTATAGAATACTACTGTATTGTATAAGTAAATATTTAATTAATTTTTTAAATGTTCTTAAAATTTATTGATTTGTCCGGAAAATAAAATCATGCCATTAGTCTTGTCAATAATATAATAAAGAAAAGGGTGGTCAGCCTTAAATTCAATGGGATTGGGAGGTATAAACGGGACGGAGAACCGGGTCAGACCAATGGCCGTAACGGCCGCCGCTTCAGTTCCCTTCTCGTCGACTGCAATATAAGTCTTGTGTTTGACTTCCGATACGGTTTGTTGACTTGTATTGGACAGTCTCGATAGGTCAGCACTTGTAGTCAAAACAATAGGCTTAGGGTTGACGTCTTGCATTAAATCATACTCTTTCTCCACTTTAAACTTTGGTATCAATATTCGGACAAAATTGCTGGACATAGACTTCAAAGCTGTTTCAAAGTTTGTCGCATTGATAGTTGTCTTCAATGTTGACAATCCGTTCCTAACTTTAGGCAACACAATAACAAAACTCATTTCCCGTCCCATATATGGGATTTCAATGATCTGTGCATTCAATTCTTGTGAGTCTAGATATCGGTAGCTATGAGTTGCACTCATAGTATCTACCGATGCAGCAGAGTTGTCGGCGCCGTTATTATAAAAGTTTGATTTTCGGGTGTCTTCTACATTAAACTTTTCAATCCAATTACCTAATCATATTGATTAATAAATATTTAATTGTCTTAACATTGTTTTATATACCAATACCTTTAAAGTAGACGGCATTCATAATGATAAGAGTTGTTTCCTCTTTGATTTTATCAAATACTTTCTGTATCTTATTGTTGGTCTGATTGCGTACCCATTGATTAACTTTTTCAGTCTCTGCTACCGCATTGTTCTTGAAGTCAGCCCTATCTACCTGAGCTCTGAAGGCCAGTTGTATGGCGTCTACAAAAGCCTGTTTGAGTACTTCACTATCATTTCGTACGACAAGATTAGCCACATTGAACTCGTGTTTCATATTGTGTGACCACCGATTGGACTCATTTGTTTGGGCCATAAACTGCCGATAAGCCATACCTGATATTCAATAAAATTATAGTTCAGTTAAATAAATAAAAATAAATATTAATTATTATATTCAAAAACTAACTTTTATTTTCATAGATTGTATTAATGATCTCAAATCCATTATTAATAGATTGATCGCTCAGAACTTGATTTGATTGGTCTTGAAATCTGAGAAATGTTTTCAAATTGTCAAGTGTTGGGCCATTTGCACCGTTCATTAGTATACCTATTATATTATATAATAAAAATACACAATAAAAATGTTTAGTTTAGTATAAAAATCAAAATCATATTGAAGTTGTTTTTTTAAACTAATATAAAAAAATATTAAACTTACTGAACGCTGATATTATTGAAAACGATGAGACAATATCATTATCATCTTTGGACAGCATTTTGTATATCTTGAATGAAAACTCATTGTTTGCCCGAACCACCAATTTATCATTTGTTGTGTCTAATGTATTATTATTATTATCATTATTAGATAATACCATAAATTGATACACTGGTAACAATCCAGCCAACAATGTGACTAATATTAGACAATTCATAGTTGTTGTAAATAATTAAATTGAAAAATAAATTTATGTTTATCTTGAATGTTAAAATTTCAAAATGTTAAACAATTATTATAAAAATCTTAACACTTAGACAGTATATATATATAGTTTTTGTGAAAATTATTTAGCAAAATAAAACATGCAATTAATATATAAGTGACGTATATATTATATACACTATATATATTATGATGTAAATGTAGAATTTTTTTCAAATAACTATTAAGGATAACTTTATTATATTATTTTTTGAAAATAAATTGAAAACAACGATTACTTATGATAATAAGCAACTTTTTTCACATTAAATTATTAATGAACCGGAAATCAATAAATTAAATTACAATAACACTGTAGTAATATTATATAACATTGATTTTAAAAATTAATTTAAATTATTTGAATGTTGTTTAACTAGTTAATTTATATTCATTACTAATTTATACTTAGTTATATCTGTGATGATAAAATATATAGAAAATTATATGAAAAATTATTTTTGATTTTATTTTATTTTTTGTTGAAAATAATAAAAATTGATATATTCAATTATTATTGACTTTTTATGTATTTAATATTTAATTTAATTATTAATTAAAGTCACGTAATAAATAGTTAAGTCATAGCATTTTTATTTTAAAAAATCAATGTCAATTGAAAGCTGAATAAATAGTGAAAATTTTTATTTATTATGATATCTATATGTGAGTAGTATTTTTATCACACATTTTGTTATTTATATTATTTGTTTGAATATTAATATATTTCCACTGTATATACCATTAATGAACAAAAACACATTTCAGATAACATTAGCAATGAGTGATATCGTGAGAAACATAAATGTCATAAATAATAATTTTTAAAAAGCATAGACAGTACACAACACTAGTTGTCAACAATAGTTTTTCAATATAAAATTAATTTTTAGTCCAATTTTTGTAATTTACAAAATTATATATAGATTTTTAAAAATAATTTGTAATAAATATTATGTATCAACACTAACATTATTTTTTTATAAATACTATGATTGTTTATTACTTATACCATATACAGGTACATATAAATTATTATAAATTGATTATTTAAACTGCTAATAACTTTCACATAAAATTATCTGCTATAATATTTATATATATAAATATATTATTTTATACAGTATTTTCTCTATATATATAAATATGATGTAAACAATTAAATTTTAAAAGTTTTGTATTATCATAACAATTGTTCACAATTTTATTTGATTATAATTATAAATAAATGTTATTCGAAATAATACAAAAACAAATGATAATATATGAATATTAATTAAAAAAAATATAAATAATAATATTAAAATATTAAATAAATGAAATAAAAACATTTTATAAAATGTTAGTGAAGACAAAATTAATTAAAATAATAAACATAACAAAATAAGATAAAATTAATTTATGTACGGCTCCGGTAAGTCCACATTCTTGTTCCCAGTCGTCGGGAATCAATTTACGGGACAATTCTCTATATTTATCAATCGGACAGTCCGTTTGGTAATCGCATTGTGGTATTCGTAGGGCATGTGGTGTACCGGTTAGTGTTTCGTTGTGATAGTAAAGACGTACAAAATAATGACCGTTTTCAGGCTTCTGGTGCAACTCAAATAAAACGGTTGCTCCAAAAGGTACCGTTAAATTATTGAAAACACCCAGTGCTTGCAATAGTATAACAAGTTTATTATCATGAGTTGAATAGTCAAATAGTTTTTTAAATTTTTTGTCATTTGTTTGAATTTTGTCGTCAAAATTCTTTAGCAATTCTTTAACAAGTGGTCCGCCACGTGTTCGCCAAACTACCGGTGCATTGTAACAACCTGACCATCTAATATCGGAAAACTCTTTGACTTTTTTCAACACTGTTTGTTCCCATTCCTCGGACATCAATCCTTTATCCGACCACTTGTATCCTCTTTCCAACTCAATGTGAAAGACATCATAAAAGCTCAATACTTCTTCTTCTGATTCACCAATAATTTTGCTAACATTTTGAACAAACTGTTTGTTTTCTTCAATCATTTTCTTATCCGTTGTTTTGTAATAATTTTTGCTAAACTGTTGAGCTGTTGGACACTTTGGTTCTACACGTAATAGCCTGTCCTCGTCCATCATTTCCAATGGATAGGTATATATGGGCTCCGGTTGCCATTCTTGACCTAATTGTGCGTCTTTTCCTTGATTCCATTGCCATGTCTTATTCATTGGTGGATATGCTCCGGCCATTACCATACTGGCCGACTCGAGACATCGCGATTTGGCCGAACTTCTGATATAAACCTCTCGAGGACTGTATTCTGATCCCAGATATTCGCCATATTCTTGACGTATAAATTGTCCCAATTTATACATCCTATACTTTCCGTACGCAAACAACTCACCCGACCCTTCCGGCCAATACTTGTCCATATCATTGAACGGATCATTCTTTAGGTAATCTTCAGTGTTTCGGTCTCCATGTCTGTGAACTATTTGCAACAGTTTTAGACTATTGATGTCGTGATTGTCCCATAACTGGACTGGACTTAAAAATATAAAGTAAATGATAAAAACACTAAAACTAAATGTTTGATTAAACATTATTGAATTAATGGTAAAAAATACTTTAATAGTTAAATAACATATTTTTAAATTAAAAAACTATTTGTCATTTCAAACTTTTTTATTGAAAAGTAAATGGTTTGTTATTCAATTTATATATAAATTTTGTAATAAAAAGTTAATTTTCCAATTAAAAGTTTATCGCACATAAAATAATCTGGATTTTACCGATATAGTCCATTGATATAATTTATTAAATAATTTTGTTATTATTTAATAATAGCAAATAAATATTTTTATTGATAAAGAATTACAATTAATTATTATATATTAATATGATATTAAAAATGTTGAACTAAACAGTTCACGTGAACACATGTTTTTTGGTTATAAAAATTGTAAACATTTATCAATAATAATAAATTATATTTTAGACCTGGGATTCTCTTATAGGGTGGGGGTATTAAAAAATTAATTGCTTATTTGCTAAAATTTAAATATTTTTTTAGTTTATTTAAAAATAATTATTAAATTATTAAAAATAATATAATATTGTAAAATTAGCAATTATTTTGTAATATTAGATACATTTATATTTAATTTTTTGTTCATTTAATAGGATTCCCTCCAATTATAACTTATATAAGTATTATATAAATATAATAATTATTTGTGTATTTTGTTGACTGATTTGATCTTAATTTTTAAACTAATGGGTATGTGATAGGTGTGTATGACTTTGTATCCAATAATATCTTTAATTGTTATCTAATAATATTAACTATTTTGATATGAAAATGTACTGAAATATTATTAAAAATTATCTTAAATTTGTTATACTTTATAATATTATAAATAAAATAAAAATAGTAAATTTTTGTGTGTTCAAAACGTGATTTTCATTACATATATTACTATTTACAGTATTAGACAATTATAATAAATTAAGAAATAATAGACATATAAGATACCGAAATGCAATTCATTACAGTGTAATAAATAATTTGAACAAGTTAATTTTGTGAAAGATTGAGCTTTAACTAATGTAATATTAGTACATTTATTTTTTTATTATTATTTAATGTACTTATATATGAACATATATTTATTAACGAAATAAAATATAACATTTTTTATAAATTGTTTTATATCAGAATTATTTAAAAATTAATTAAAATTAATTAAAGTTTTAAATTGTAACTATTTTTTAAAAATTAATAAATTTAATATAAAATGAAATATTATGTATAATATGATAATATTATAAACATAATAATAATAAAATTTTTGTAAAATTATAATTAATCTGCATTGACCCGTATTTAATTTGTATATTATGAAAACAAATAAATATTAAATTTATTAAACAATATAACAATTTAATTTAATATTGCATTTATTTTTTTTAAAATTTGTTTAATTATAAAATTGTATTTATTATATTGATAATTATAAATACTGTATTAAAACATTATTTAATTTTAAATAATTAATGTATAAACTTGAAAACAATCAAAATAAACAATAAAAACATTTATTTAATAAATTAATCTCATTTTAATTTCACATATTAATTCAATATTTAAAAAACTAGTTTTTAAAACATGATTTAAATGATGTCTTCCGTAAATATTTTAACTACATTTTCAAACTAATGTAAAGTTATATTACTGTATAATTTTATAATATATATTATATTTTATTTGTTTCAGTTTATTGCAAATGTTTAGTCAAAACTTAAGTATATTGTATATATAATGCACTTAATAATGGTTAAATATTATCAACTATTATTGCTATTAATAACACAATTAGTAAATATCAAAATGATTGCAAACAATTATATTCAATGTGATGGCACTGTTGGCCACAATGATAGACACGGTGTCTGTATTTTAGATAAGTTTTGTTGTAAAGGTTTTTCAGTGCGAAACCTGTGTCCCGACGGAGGCATCTGTTGTTACGGCACTCCTGACTGCGCTTTAGACTCAAGTATTTGTATTTTTTTGTTTGTTTTTTAAAAATATTTTAATTTAAGCCATTACTTATCATTAGTTTAATTAATAATTAAATTTTTCATCTCAATATTGTTATATCAGGCACTAACGCTATCAAACAGTCATACAATCCCTGTCCACTAATCATACCCCGGCAACAATGGCGTGCACGACAACCAAATCAATTGATTGCAAGTATACCTCCGGCCGAACACGTGTTTGTTCATCACACGGACGATGGAAACACGTGTCAATCTTTAGAGTCTTGTGGCGTCAGATTGCGATCACTGCAAAGCTATCACCAGTTTAACAAAGACTGGCCCGATATTGCCTGGAATTTCATTATAGGTGGCAATGGACAGGTATATGAAGGGGTCGGTTGGAATCGACAGGGATTTCATACACTAAACTGGAATCATAATTCAATAGGTGTTGCATTTGTTGGCAATTTTAATGATGAAAAGCCAACGGAAAGTATGTTAAATACATTTCATAAATTACTGGAGTGTGGAGTAAAAAACGGATTTATTCGACAAGATTATCATATTCACGGGCACCGGGATGTTAGAAAAACTTCCTGTCCAGGACAACATTTGTATGACTATATAAAACATTTGCAGCATTTTAAACAATTACAATAATGATGAGATAGATAAACTAATATCTAATTCACTGAATATCTAATTTTATAAAATATATTAATTTTATAAAATATATTAATTTTATAAAATATATTAATTTTATAAAATATATTAATTTTAAAATATTTATATTTTAAATTAAATTTTTCAAATTTATTTATATATTTATGCATTAATGTTTATATAAAATAATTAAATCTTTTACTTTTATAGTTAATCTATAGTAGATTTTAAATATACATTTATTTATATATGTTTATTTATTATATTACGCATTTATTTAAATTATTTTTTTAATTTAATATTTAAAATATACAAAATATTTTAGTTGTAATATACTCACAGTTTATTTGTCAGTTTAAAATTTAAATAAAAAATTATTTATTTTACTATTTTAAAAAGTATAAATTTTAACTAAATTTTAATTAAATAATTAATTTTAACTAAATTTTTAAAAAATTTAAAGTTAAAATGGTAATTAGAAAGTAGTTATTTTTAAAAACAATATTAAATGTAAAAATACAAAATAAATGTATTATATTAATATCAATAATATTGATAATTAAATACAAATATAATTTATAACTTATAATATAAGTCATATAAATCATAATATAAGTATCATACATAGTTAGATACAATATATTTTATACATTGATTTTTTAAACTGATAATAATATTATAGATACTAAGTTAGATTACTATCTATTATTATCTATGTACTGTATATTAATTACTAGATAACTTTCCAAAATAATAAATATTAATTGTAATATTTTCCAATATATTGATATTTATTATTATTTGATCTATTAATATAATATAAAGTTCAATTAAATATTAAATATTTTGTATTTTCTTATATTATATATAATAATTATTACAATTTTATTAAACTATAATTATAGATAAAATAAATTTGGATAAAAATAATTTTAAAAAATAGATAATATATATTTAGTAATTGAAGCAAAAAATATAAATAATTATTAAAATTACAAATAATAATCAAATTAAAAACACTACAAAATTAATAAACATAATAAACATAACAAAATACGATAAAATTAATTTATGTTCGGCTCCGGTAAGTCCACATTCCTGTTTCCATTCGTCGGCAATCAATTTACTGAATATTAAGTAAAAATATATATATAAATAATAATAATCTTAAAATATTAAATAAATGATATAAAAACAGTTTATAAAATGTTAGTGAAGACAAAATTAATTAAAATAATAAACATAACAAAATAAGATAAAATTAATTTATGTACGGCTCCGGTAAGTCCACATTCTTGTTCCCAGTCGTCGGGAATCAATTTATGGGACAATTCTCTATATTTATCAATCGGACAGTCCGTTTGGTAATCGCATTGTGGTATTCGTAGGGCATGTGGTGTACCGGTTAGTGTTTCGTTGTGATAGTAAAGGCGTACAAAATAATGACCGTTTTCAGGCTTCTGGTGCAACTCAAATAAAACGGTTGCTCCAAAAGGTACCGTTAGATTATTGAAAACACCCAGTGCTTGCAATAGTATAACAAGTTTATCATCATGAGATGAATAGTGAAATAGCTTTTTAAATTTTTTGTCATTTGTTTGAATTTTGTTGTCAAAATTTTTTAGCAATTCTTTAACAAGTGGTCCGCCACGTGTTCTCCAAACTACCGGTGCATTGAAACAACCTGACCATCTAATATCGTAAAACTCTTTGACTTTTTTCAATACTGTTTGTTCCCATTCCTCGGACATCAATCCTTTATCCGACCACTTGTATCCTCTTTCCAATTCAATATACAAGACATCATAAAAGCCCAATACTTTTTCCTGTGATTCACCAATAATTTTGCTAACATTTTGAACAAACTGTTTGTTTTTTTCAATTAATTTCTTATCCGTTGTTTTGAAATAATTTTTGCTAAACTGTTGAGCTGTTGGACACTTTGCTTCTATACGTAATAGCCTGTCCTCGTCCATCATTTCTAATGGATAAGTATATATTGACATCGGTTGCCATTCTTGACCTAATTGAGCGTCTCTTCCTTGATTCCATTGCCATGTCTTATTCATTGGTGGATATGCTCCGGCCATTACCATACTGGCCGACTCGAGACACCGCGATTCGGCCGAACTTCTAGTATAAACCTCTCGAGGACTGTATTCTGATCCCAAATATTTGCCATATTCTTGACGTATAAACTGTCCCAACTTATACATCCTATACTTTCCGTACGCAAACAACTCACCCGTCCCTTCCGGCCAATACTTGTCCATATCATTGAACGGATCATTCTTGTAGTAGTTTAAAGTGTTTCTGTCTCCATGTCTGTGCACTATTTGCAACAGTTTTAAGTCAGTGATGTCGTGATTGTCCCACAACTCAATTGGACTTATAATTATGAAATAGCAGTAAATACTGAAAAAATTAAAAATTAATTTTTTATAAAACATTATTAGATAAACAGTAAAAACACAATAAATAGTTATTTACTTATATATATAAAAATTGTTTGTCATTAAATATTTTATTTATTTAAATATTAAATTAATAACTAAATGATTTGTCATTCAATTTATAAATCATTAAATGCATAAATGTCAATAAATGCAGTTTTAATTAAATAACGTAATTTAATTTTATTAAATTTAAAAAATATTAATTATACAATAATTATTATCCGCGTCTTTTCTTGAAAGCAATATTAAAGAAATGTCTTAAGACATCGACCAGATCTCTACCATTTGCACATTTCCCACGAATCTGATCCCAATATTTCATATTTTTTGCTATCCATGCCATTCGTTTTAGACTTTCTACATCACATCCCAGTCCACACTTGATATCTATTAAATGTTTTTGATTTTCATCGAGCAATTGCTGCCAGTGTTGGGCTATCAGCTGTATGTGACAGTCTGAGTGAAAATCTCTGGAGACTATAGTTATGGTAACTATGCGTTGAGTGCCAACAAATGAGTTATTGTTAAACTCAGTGGACAGTAGTTTATCGGATGAAAATGTCARTCGCAAACCAGATGTCTGTGTTTTGTCTCTCAATTGAAAAGCATATTCTTTAATGGCATCGATTCGGACGTTAGAAAAGTCTATACTTTCTAAATAAGATAACTCATCAAATGCTGAACTACCTATCCATTGAATGGCATTTTTATAGTCTAACATAAAAATATAGATTAAACAATATATTAATGTCATAAAAATAATAGTTGTTGTTATTGTTGATACATACCGATACCATTGCTGAAATAAATTTGTTTTAACTTCATTTTTGGAGCACCAACTGATTGAAATGCCTTATCAGGTATGACCAGCTTTTTGAAACCAGTTATCTTAAGCGCCTGAAGTCGTGATAAATGAATAAACGAATGAAACAAATTTTTATTCAATGAAAGCATCTGTGAGTTGTCGAGGTTCGGGTGATTCAACTCCAATGATAAATACTCTAATGTATTAGTGGTACCCGAAAACAAATGCTGACTAACGGTACTGACTGTTGAACAGTTGGCTATATTGACATTTGTGAATTTGATACCTTGAAATAGGCTTACATCCAACGATTTTGTATTACACGATTGTATTGTTAATGAATCAAAATACCGGTGCCGATAGTCAAGTTGGTTAACCATTTGCAAGAATATTAGATTTAGATAAGCAGTTGAATTACATGTTATAAAACTAGTCGAGTCAGTAGTGACCAAATGATCGCTACAATCACAACGGGTTACATATTGGCCCCGATAGAGGAGATACTGTTTTTGTGGACAACTACCCACACAATACACATTAGTTAAAAATATAGTAAAAATTAAAATTAAACTAAAAATAATTAGTATATTTTTATTTTCTAATTTCATATTTAACATTATAGTATTACTTGACTTAAATTAAATAAAGTTAAATACGGTATATTTTTAATAATGTTAACAGTTTTTTTGTGTTAAATAAATTGTAATTTTAATTATTGTTAACATGTAAGTCAAGTGTTAAATAAATATTAATTTATGCAAATATTGTACATGTTTTATAATGATTTTAATTTATAACTTATTGATTCTATTGTGTACATAGTATTTAATAATATGAATATTATAAATATTATTTAATCTATAAACAAACTTTTAATTTCGTATATTAAAAGTATTATATATAATTAAATAACATATATTACATTTAAAAAAAAATATTTTTTTTAAATATTAAATTTATTGTTTTAAAATAAATAATCTACTGTATTCAAAAATATATATTATAGCATATTTTACATTAGTTTTCATTATTTTATATATATATATATATATATATATATATATAATTGATATATATGTAATATATACATATATACTGTACATCATTATATTATTATCTCAAATACCATGTCAACTATGATAGTATATAACTTAAGGTATTTATAAAATGTTGTAATAACTCCATATAATATAAAAGATAACACATATATGATTACTACAGTATTATACTGTATTAATATTACGTTTAGATTTGTTGTTTTTTATTGAAATGAATCATTTATTTTTTAAAAAAAGATTCATAACAAGTAATCATTTTAATATAATTAAGTAAAATGTAATGCTATTGTCTCCTTAAACTAAACAATGGGCGACAAATGGCAAAAGCATTTGCCTAAAAATGATGGCAAATGTGAAAGAGATTTTGAGTTTATCCATGAGTGCGGAACCGGTAGTTTTGGACGCGTATTGAAAGTCAAACAAAAAAATGATCAAACAATACACGCCATTAAAATTATAACAGAAGGTAATGTTTTAAAAGTTTAAATAAAAACATTTTGTTGTTAACTAATTTTGAGTTAAACTTTTTTATTTAATATATATATATATATATATATATATATATACTGTATATATATATTATATATATATAGAGATCAATGATAGCAATTTCGAGACATACATTCAAGAGTATCAGGTGCTCAATGAAATCAGACAAACAAAAGGATCCGATTTTGTGGTCCAGTTTCGCGACGCATGGATTGATAGAAATCTGATTCACATTCAGACAGAGTTTTGTGATCACAATTTAAGAGACATTATAAACAACAAGAATATCCTGTTTAAGGAAAGTCGTGTTGACTACAGTTGGGCACTGATTGAGTATTTCCTCTCTTGTGAATTACACGAACAGCTCGTCAATTGTCTCAACTATTTGCACACATTTTCGGCGCCAATCATTCACAGAGATCTTAAACCGGAAAATGTTTTGGTCATTGAAAATGTGATGGTCAGGGATCAGCCATTTCTTAAAATATGTGACTTTGGTTACGCCAAACTTCAGAAGTTTAGCGGACAGTCCAACACCAGAGACAAGGGAACAGTTAGATATATGGCACCCGAAGTGGTTCACAGCAAATATTATGATATCAAATCGGATATTTATAGTCTGGCACTGATATGTCAGGATATATTTGATATTAACCTCTACTCGTAAGAGATTATAACTTTATATCTATTTTTAACATTAAATTAACATAATTTTAATATTTATTATTTAGTTTCAAAAAGTCATTGCAATGCAAACATTCAAAACTCATTGAAAAGTATAAATTAATGGAACCATTGGTGTTGGATATGCTTAAGTACCCGTCCTATGATGACCGACCCAATTGTCATCAGATACTTGAAAGGATTAAGGGATGGTATCTCAACGATGAGAATATAATGTCTATAACACAACAATCGGATGTTTTTAAAATTATTGAAAATTACAAAATCAAATTTTTCCATAACTTTCTCGTCAATAAACTTAACGCTAGACTTTCATCCGGTAGTGATGTTGTTATCTGTGATTCAATTGACAGCAACGAAGACACTGATTTGATTGATGATAATATGAAATCCCTGTCCATTGACGACACATTTCACGAAGTAAGCCAATTGAATGCTACACCGGGCGATATAATTGAAGTCAAGGATAGGGATAATAGTGAGTCGACCACCATTTGGGCCATCTATGTAGACAACAATGAGGTGATCTATTGTTCGCCCAGTGATGGAGATAATGATAACGTGATAGTAAAAGACAATATAAACAATGTTACTCAACAAAAGTACTGTAGAGTCAATAATTTGGTACAGTTTTCCCAAACAAAAGGTGTTGTCATTCAAGATACCGGTGCTATCATCGGAAAAGCAGTGGAAATGTGGCAAAATTTTGGTCTCCGTCGGACACTATTCAACAGTTGTGACCATAATTTGCGAATACATTTCGTTACCAAATGTCGGTTTGGTTGGGAATTTTGCCAACGGTTTGAGTGTTGCGGTCAACAGGAAGTCAGTCTATTTGAACTCTAATTATAAATAATTTTTTAAAAAATTATCCAAAAATATTTTTTCTCCGGATATCCAGTCAATACAATGACATAAAATAAGCGCAAAACAAACTATAACTTTGCCATTGAATAAAATATTTTTTTAAAAACAAATTTATTACAATTGATTTTTATACTCTATTTTAAGTTACAATAATATTTACCAATAAAATGTTATTAATATTTTAAGCTTTAATTAAATATAATTATAAAAATATAATACAGTACTATGAAAATGTAATTAATTATAATAAAAACTACATTTTTATTGTTAATAAATGCAAAATATGATTATAATATACAAAGTGTACTTAAATTATATAACAATATTGTTTTAAAATTGCAAATTACTGTAATATTATATTTATAAAAATTATTATAATAAAAGCAAAACTTTTTATTAGACATTTGAGTAGTCATAAAGATTTTTRTATTAAAAAATAACTGTAAATAATAAAATACATTACTCTATAATGTCTAAGATATATGATAAACATAAAGATATAAAAATTATTATTATTATTAAGTATATTATTATAGAAACCCGTAAACCTATTTAAACTAAAATCGTTTTTTAATTTTTAATTTAATCTCTGAGCTAGGCTTCAAAATAACAGCCATATCAAGTTTAACAGTATCTCTATGGGTCAGGGATTGGATCTCATAACGTCTCAGTATTGAAGCTAACAGTGCCTTCTCCTCTAACATAGCAAACTTTTGACCGATACAGTTACGGGGACCGGCACTAAATGGTGCATAAGCATAGGGATGTCGTTGATTGGCACTGGACTCAGTATCAAATCGATTTGGATCAAACACTTCCGGATTGGGAAATACCTTAGGATCCCTGTGCAACATATAGAACAACACAACACATGTAGCACCAGCCGGTATTTCATAGTCGTCCACTTGAAGGGTGTGTGATTGACTCGGGCCACGTATGGCACCGACGGATACAGACGAAGAGCTTCTTTAATACATTGTTCTAAATATTTCATGTCTCGCAAGTCATCCATTGTTATATCGCGAGTCATATCATCACTGAATATGCTGTCCAACTCATCATGGATTCGGGTCTAAGAGTATTAAAACAACATTTTTAAATCTCTCTCTCTCTCTCTCTCTTTCTTTGTCTCCCTATTACCTGAACTTTCATATCGAGTCCTATTAATAGTAATGAAAACTGAATGGCAGCCGATGTTGTGTCGTGTCCTTCAAACATGAATGTGTCGACCTCTTCACGAATGTCCAGTTCGGTAAACTCTGTGGGATGTTGTATATGATAGACGAGTAACGAATCAAGAAAAGCCAGTTTTCTTTTAGATCCCATGTCTACCATAAGTTGATCCAAATTATCATTGCTTGTGGCGGACATATTCTTCATGATTTCGGTTTTTCTTTCTTTAATAACCTATTATTTAATTAATTTTACAAAAAATAATAATAATAAATATAATTTTCATTATATTAGTTATTTAGGATTATTACTGAATCTGTAAACTTATGCAATATATCTGTGGATTTCAAAAACTGTTTGCCAGAGGGAAACCGTTTATACAACATATCAGACCAAAGCCACGGCATTAGAAACCGTTGAAAAAACATTATTAAGACATTACGTACTGATTGTACGTATTGTGAGTTCAGATCGGTCTGTGCGTTGACTGTCACACCCATTGCCGTCTCTAACGATAATTAGATTTTAATTATACAATAAGTAAAGAAATATTTATACTATTAATATATATTTTACCACATATGGTATCCAATGCACAGTTAGTTATGATGGGACGAACATCATTAATAAGGCCATTGTTTTCTAGTAGTTTACGGTCCAGTATATCAATCATCACCTTTTGTTGACCATTGATGACGGGAATAAAGTTTTCCAAGATTTTGAAATGAAATGATGGCGTCAGTAGCTTCCTATGGGAACGCCATCGATCACCTGAACTGCCATTAATTATCATATCATTTAAGTACTATATTATATATATATTAAGCTGAAAATACGACAAGTCATACATACCTGGTTAACAAACCCAGTCCTAGCCATGGCCTAAAAAAATTATATTCACGAGATTTTTCAATGTGAACGTTGCTGGATAATAGTTTCTTAAAATATAATTTTTTAAATAAATTTATTATAATTATATAAAATATAACAATAATAATAATAAATATTAAAATATAAAATGAAACAAACTGATACTGAACAAAATGAAATAAACTATATTGATAATTTTAAATATTAATATTTGTTTAACCAAACTAATTTACACTATATCTACACTGTTCAACAATATTATTATATTATTAGTATTACATTAAAAATATTTTATTATTTCTTTCTATTAGTGTATTTAAATATTGCACATCTAAATGTATAATATTTTTCCACTATTAATAAAACCATTTTCATGATCATTATATTGATATTTACATTTACATTATTTATACTAATTTAGTTATAACAGTTGCTTACATGCATTATTTAATTTATATATTCAACTATAAAATTATATTTAACAGTATAGTTTTATTAAGTTAAGATAAATAATAAGTATTGTTGTTTTAAATATTAATGTTGCATTTTATCGATTATTAATAAATTTATTATATTCAATTAAATACAGTATTTGCATTAAATTTATAAGTCTACAACCAATTATAGCCAAGTTTATAATATATATTATATTGTTTTTGCTTAAGGTTTATTAATTTATAAGTTTATATCAAATTGAATAGAATATTAAAGTTTTTAAGTTAATTAAATAATATACTGTGAAATAAACTAGAATAATATGTGCTAAAAAAATTTAAATCAAATAATAACTTATTGGTATAACTATAATAACTTAAATACTTAATAATAAATTTATATATTAATATATATATATATATATATATATATATGTTTGTATACCTCAACAGTATCAGCTCTAAATAGTACAGTTAATGTATGAACCGGTCCCAACCAAAACTTAAATATACCTAAACCTTGATCCTGATAGGATCGGGTCACACCTGTTATTATTTCCAATGCTTTGTCTTGTAGTACTTTAAATACAAATACAAATTATTAATTAAATAATATTTAAATAAAACATTTTTCTTAATTAGTTTATATAAATTATATAATGATTACAAACAAGTAAAGTTATCCAATTGTTTGATATAAGTCCAAAATAGCTCCAAATTGCCAATGAAAGTGCCAAACAATTTACTACATTTGGGTCCGGGTATTAAATCAACTTTGTGTTTGTATTCAACATATTTGGCATATTTTACTATTATTAATGAAACAATTGACAAAATTGATGCTAGTATTAGTGCATTACTTATATATTGACCACTAAACGGTATTAATGATTTTAAATATTCATCAATCATTATTAGTATTATTATTGATTAACAAATAAAATAATACAAAATTATTAAAAAATTATTGCAAAAATTAACAACAAATAAAAAACAAATTATTATTGTTATTATATTTTCAATTTTAACAACTAATGTATGTATAAATTATTATTTCCTTATAATGAAGTGCTAACGTTGATATTATATAAATATGTTTTATTATATAAAATTTAATTTATTATTTACATTATGTTAAATTGATAACATTTTTTATTTGTTGATTGAGTTCATCAATTTGTTTGACTCATTTAAAATCTACAACACATATACAGTATTATTGATTAAATATTAATATATATCTGTTATCTAAACTGTAAATTATTTGTTATCAGTTTGTTTTTTCCAGTATTTTTCTATTAAATAATATTATTATCTTATTTTTAAATATAGTTATTTACTGTAGTTATGTTAAATTAATTTTGATTAACATAATTTTTAGTCTAGAATTATATTATAAATTATAATTTATACTATTATATAAAGTATAGACATAAGACATAATAACGGTATACATATGTGATATACAGTATATGATATTAACATTTTTCCAAATAGTAAATTTAATACCTGTATAATATACCTGTATAATACAGTGTAAACATATGTATATATATATATATATATATATATATAAATATATAAGTTATATGTACTGTTTAAAATTTAAATTTAACAAAAATTATCGTAAAAATAGCAACTAAATGTTAATGAAAATAGATTAATATTATTCAAATTAATTATTAAAAAAAAAATTCAAATAGTATATGAAATTTTCACTTTCGAAATTATTTAAAATATTAATTGATTTCATACCAATAATATAATTTTTCAATTAAAGCATTTACATAACTACTATAAAAAAATTTAATTATTTCATAATTATAAAATTACATAAAATTATTGTTTACAAACAATTATTTTGATTACAATAAAAATTTAATTTATTATTAATAGGATTCTTAGAAAAAAAAAAATAAAATTGTAAGTTTACATTGCATGCATTACTAATAATTTTTATTTATTTATTTATTATTACATTATTATTATTATCAAATATAATTAAGTACATTATTATTAGAAATATATAATATTTTTAGAATTATAAATATAGTATTAATGATTTATAATATTTATAATTTGAAATCATATAAAAAAATATAAATGTCAAATAATAAACAATTGTTGCATTAATGCAATTTATAAATAATATTACTGTACATTGATTTCACAAAAAACATGTACCAATTTTTGTACAAAAAAAATAATAATCTCAATGCAATACACAAATTAATTGTGTTTATTAGTGTTTAGTAGACTCTAAACAAATGTAAAATTTATTTTTTAAATTCCTAATTAATATTTGATTTTTATTATGTTATTATTGTTAATATTATTATTACAGTATTATATTTATTATAAACATTACATTTATTCTGTATTACAGTACTTCTGTGCTATTATTAGTACTATAAATAACATTTTAAGTAACTTAATATAATTATAATAAATCCGTTTTATGAATCAATTTTTTACATAAATAAATTAAATGTATTTTTATTTTCACTTATTATTATTATAAATTACATAAAATTGTTATTATTGAAAAATATTGTCATCAAAAATAAACGTTTATTATA